GAGCCCTCAGTGCCGCCGCTCGGAGGGGGGTGTGTGAAGGCGGGCGGTCGCGGTCCCTCGGGGGGCATCAGAGCGCCCGGGCGGTTAGCGCGTTGCTCTGCTAAGGGAGCCCCCAGGAACCGGCCTCCTCGTCTGGACCGTGAGAGAGGACTGGCAGCAGATGGACATCAGCTAAATAGAGCAAACGTAATGGGAGAAACTTTCAGGGCAGAATGACTTTGGGGTAGATCAGCTATTTTAATTGGGTAGTGGGCATTGGTGGTGTGTTTGTGCCGTTACGAGCGATGCAACACCCTTCCCTTTGCTTAGCAGCCTTGCTTTTATTCTTTGTTTTCGTCAAACTAAGCGCGCAAGGGCGAGTTACTTTGAGACAGGCTTTCGCTCTTGAAGCGGCTGGTCTGCTTCGGTCTGCTGAGGAGCTCCATTCACTCTCAGGTTGCTCAGCTCGATGTTACTCACTTTATCTGAATGCGGGAGCACTCCTGTATAGTCCCCAAGGCAAGAAGGGGCACTGGTGTGATGGGGAGTACTGCCTGTCCTCTGTGTGCATGTGTGTACAGAGACGGGGTATATGTGGAGACTGGAATTCAGTGTTGCAAACAGAAAGCTACGAAGCAATTGCTTTAGCAGCTCTAATGGTTAGGTCTGTTCAAGAAGCCAAACAGCCGGAGCTTTTTCCTGGATTGTATGAAGACATTAAATGCAGTGTTTTCAGGGTGCAATGACTGGTTTTTTAAAGCCCATAAATAAGAAGAAAGTATGAAGCAGGGCTACTGTATCTGCCTATCATTTGGGGGGCTTATAAGTAAGCACTTTGTATTCTGCCCTCCTTTTACTGCAGTTTTCCATTTGTAACCTCTCCCCCTGCCATTTATAGCAGCACTTGTTAATAAGACCACTCACAATACTGTCAGAGCACCAGAGAAGCAGAGGCAGAATAGCTGTCCAGGCAGAGGACTGGCTTTGGAGCATCGGAAGGGATCCTTCCAAGTAAAGGTGGCTCATGCCTAAACCTCCAGCCTTAGTACCTCCACACTGATGTATCACTCAGTGCTGTTGGGTTGCATGGCCTTTTTCATCTACCTCAACAACCTCATGAGCCCATGAAAACAGCAGTGGAATTTAGCCTATACTGTACTCGTGACATGCAGAGTGATCTAATGAACACTATGTGTCTTGTTGTCTTATTGTTTGCATTGTTGAGATTAAGGGCCTAGTCCATTAACTGCTGTCTGTATATGCCTGCCTGTGGTGTTTGTACGAATTTCCTGTATGGGCTATGTGTAAGACTAGGTCCTTTGATTCGATTAGCAGAAGAGAGTTGAGCTCTTTTTGCAATTGTTTGCAATTGATGATGTTTGTTTTTCACACTCAGAAGGAAATTATAGTGCTTATCATTCTCTTAAGAACTTTATAATGCTCCACAGTCCCCGTGATGTCAGTTTGTTATACTAGAAAAGAAGAGTAAGAAACAGAAATATAGTGATTTCCTCAAGGTTTTAGAATTTGCCTGTGCCAAAGCTTTAGCTTGGAATCTAAGAATTTCTTGGCTTTATCTCTGTGCCCTAACCGTGCGAATCTGTGCCTTTCTTCCACATTTGAAGTACAGAATTATGTTTAGATATGTTCCAGTAATTATGAAGTGTATAGAGAGGAAAAAATATTAGGTTGTATGGAACTTCATTCTTCTCTCCCAACCCCACTCTCCTTGGGTTTTTTTTTTTTTGGGTTTTTTTTTTTTTTTTTTTTTGTGAAATGCAACTATAACTGTCCATTTGTATGTATCTCTTTCAGATTTGCAACCAACATAATGCTGAAGCTCCCAACTTGGAACAAGCATTTCACAGGATGGCGCAAACAGAACCTAATCTGGACCATGACGTATCATGGTTCATCCTTCCATCATACTGGGCTAAAATGGTTGTGGCATTAATTTCCTTCCTCTGTTTTGCTAACAGCTATGATGGAGATTTTGTCTTTGATGATTCTGAAGCCATCATCAATAATAAGGTTTGTCTCTCTTCCCCCTGCCCCGTGCCTTTTGACATAAATGGTCATAGGAAAGGATATAATGACAACAGTTGATCTCCGTAGATCCTAGTAAAGAACTTCCTTCTGATATTCCATTTTTTTGAACTTAATTTTTCTGTTTTGTTTTATCGTGTCTGGGTTGGGTTTTTTTAAGTCTTATTTAAGGGTGCCAAACACAGTGTGCAGCAGTGCTCTACCAAAAAGCTAGAAGCATAAGTATACTTAACAAAATGTTATTCCTAAAGCTATTTGAATAACATGACTTGGGTTCTAGTACGTAAACAAGAGAGTGAACAAATTAAACAGCTTCTTCCCCTTCCTCCGAATGTGTCCCCTTTTATTCTTTTGCAAGTGAGATGCTCTGCTTAACAAGTGTTGATATCTGCTCAAGGGGAAGGAATTTGTCTGCTTGTCATCTAAGACAGCTTTATCTAGAGTTGCAGCAAATCTGGATGTGATGTTTAGTAACACTTACTCACAGAGCACCTGTACATCAAGCCTGCCTGTAGACCTAATTTTAGACTCATCTCTAAGTCAGTCAGACTATGGCGTAGACTTTTCTAATACCTGTTGATGTTAATAGGAGATTTTTTCAGTATCTTCTCAGGTGAATAAGCCCAGTGAATAAACTTACTCTGGTTACAAGATGCATAATGCATCACTAAGTGATTGTAGGGTGCAGGGGTTCTCCAGCTGTGGTTTATACCATTAAAAAGTTATAGGAGCAAGGAAAACATCCTTTTTCTTTTGCTCCTTCCCCTTTAAAAGTTCCTGTGACAACAGTATTTTTTTGAAATAGAAGCAGAGTATTCTTGTGCTCTGTCTTAAAACTGCTCATAGGTACAATGAACAATCCCTGAAATGCTTAGAAATTAACATGCAATTCAAACAGGCCTTTAAGTGAGATTTTTTTTCAATTGCGAGGAGTTGAGTGTCTTCAAATGCTGAGACACTTGTTAGAATCACATGTAGCAGTTAGTGCTCATGAGTGGGTCTTAGTGTTGCAGCTCTTATTCTATTCTGGAATGTTAAATGGTTGGCAAGAGAAGCACAGGCTAAAAAGAATCACCCTCATCTGTTGGTTCTGTTTTTCTTTAGACATGGGGTTACAAGGTTGATAATCTGGAAACTCATATTATTAGAAGAATACAATTCACGTTTTTTTTCCTTTGCACAAGATTTAGAGGCAACTTACACAATGTGCCTTTTAGAACCCCACAGAATCACTGTTTCCTTAGACAAATATGTATTATGCTTGTTTAAGTCATCATACCTTGAGTTATAAATGTATGGGGGGAAAATACATCTGCCAAACTGGAAATAAATCTCAAAGCTTCTAAGAGAATACTATAGACACTATTTTTTCTTTTCTAAGAAGCATTATGTTTTAAATTACACGGCTCTTGGTGATGCTTTCTTCTACAAAGTTTTATTTTGGGCATGATTATAGTATTTTAATTTCCCGAAAGAATGAACAAAAAGACTGATGCGGAAACAAGGTAGGTTGTTTTCTTCATGTGCAATTTCAATCTTTACTTTCAAAATGTTTAAATTTATCCATGCAACAAAACAACCTGCACCAGGATTATAGCTGTTGGCAATGCTGAGAAATTCAGCCAGCTGCTTAAATAGATTAAATGATACCTAGTCTGAAAAACTGTGAGGCTTATTCTATTTTTCACATCAAAATCCTCTATTATTCCTTAGAAATTAAATGAGATTTTTGTGACAGTATCATTTTAACACAGGGGTCATATGAATACATGAAAATGCAGAGGCAGTGAGTTTACCAGCTTAATGGTGAAGAAAAGCATCTAGCAAAGGCACAGTTTATTAAAAGTATAGCCTATTTTATTCCTATTCAATAGGAGAGACAGCAGGTGAAGTAATTTTGTAGATTCACTGACCATTACTATACCAGTATTTTCTTGGGTACCACACAGTGACTTTTTTTTGTTAATTTACTAGCTCCCAGGCCCCGCCCCCAGTCTTTCAGTTTATGTTCTTTTTTAGTGAAAAACACAGTTAGCTGACCCCATGCCTACTGTACCATGGAACATTCTGTTATTAGATTTATATTGGGGTTCCATGCTGTTTTCCAGATGCTTTCCTGTCATTTTAAGCAGCATTTTAACTGGTACACAACAGTGACTTTTTATTTATTTGCTAGCTTGGCAAGACAAACAGTTGGATTAAGAAGAGTTTCAGACACATTATGTCATCTCCGTAAGCCTTTATATAGGAAACCTGACCTTTCTTCGAGTATTGAACTTTGCTGTAAGCTGCTGCTAATCAAATATTTAGAGATTCTTTGCTGTCTACATTCAGTTCTTAAAGAGAAAACCATATGTCGTTTCTAAACAGCCATGTCTCTTGGAGCAAACCATTCCTTTTTTAGGGTAAGTCTACCAAGTGGGAAAACTCACATAATAAACTTTTTCTCACAGAACTTGTATACAAGAGCAAGATACATGACTGAAGATTTTTTAGGTCATATGGAAGTGTAATCTAATCACTAAGAATTCTGTGTATTCAGCTTTTCCTGCATGCTTCCTATGGAAGACAAAAGAAGGCTGATTCTAGCGGAAAGGGAAATCTAGCTTTGCACATCTCCAGTGTATTTCACATCTCATTATTGAAGACCATCTGTGACACAGAAGACATACTTTTAAGATTTTTAATACGAAAAGAAGAAAATGTTTTTCATAGTTCCTTTCTTTGGCAAATGTACATAAGGACCTGTGTGTTGGTTGGAAAAACCTGAAGTCTGAAGACACAATGACCACTAACGGTCGGCTTCTGCAGAACACAAAGACTTCAGTAGATGTTGGTGTACAACCCAGTCCCAACTTGCCTCTGGAAAAGCAGGCTATATTGATTTAGTGGCCTCCTGGTTGAGTGCACTCCATCTCCCAGAGTCAGATTACGACCTTAGGGGTATGTGCATACCAGTAAGGAATGGGATAGGAATTTAGGTGCCTAAGGCCAAAATTAGTCCTGGGAGAAGAAGAAATTTGTAGCTGTTGTTTGGCAGTAGAAACATCTGCAAGAGAGTGAGGGAATTTTGCACCTTGATAATTCTTAAGCTCAAATAGGGTCCCCTGTGAGTCTTGATTTCTTAAGGTTTTCCCTGAGAATGCCTTAATTAACAGCTGCAGTATAGGACTTTTCAAAGACTATGATGTTAGCTCTGCTCTCTTTTCTGTGTATTGATTAGTAACCTGTTAGTGAATGCTTCACTTCATTTGACAATGTGGTAGGATTTTTAGCTTACTTCTCCTTTGCATTTCTTTTTAATCCAGTTGTCTAGTACTGTCCAAATTTGATCAAGTTGGCAGTCCTGTCGTAATGGTGGACTTGATGATCTTAAAGGTATTTCCAACCTAGTTGATTCTATGATTCTATAAATGATAGAAATAAATCTTAGAATTTTTTTTATTTTTGTATGGATGAAAGTCAGAATGTGTTGAGAGAAGCAGGAAAAAATGAGTTATTTTAAGTTCAGTTTAGCAGCAGCCAGTCAGCATGGCCCAGACATTTGGCTGTACTAGCAGTAGTATATGTTCTCTCTTGCCTTGTTGGCAGGCCAAAAATGCTAGCTAAGGATGAGACGGAAGGTACTGGAGACCGCAAGAGGTGCTCAAAATACTGTAGAAGCAAGTGAGATGGTAGCAGCATTTGAGAAGAACTTGAGTTAGTGATCCAAGAGCATTGTAATGTGGGAGCCTGGTAAGTATATGTAGACGTAGGAGGAATAAGACATAGCACACCAGGCTTTGTAAAACCTTCCATGGGTTTAGCAACCTGATTTGTCTGCTTGTGTTTGTATTGGCTTATTCGTAGAATCCTAGAATGGTTTGGGTTGGAAAGGACCTTAAGATCATCTAGTCCCATGGGCAGTGACATCTCACACTAGACCGTGTTGTCCAAGGCTCTGTCCAACCTGGCCTTGAACGCTGCCAGGGGTGGAGCATTCACAACTTCCTTGGGCAACCCATTCCAGTGCCTCACCACCCTCACTGTAAAGAACTTCTTCCTTAGATCTAACCTAAATCTCCCCTGTTTAAGTTTAAACCCTTTACCCCTTCTCCTATTACTACAATCCCTGATGAAGAGAATCTGCTTTGGTTTGTTGGTTTCATGAAGACTTTCAGAGGAGAAGGTGGGTGGGGTGTGGAGTAACTCGTGGTTGATTGAAGGTGTAATACCAACACTCATATGAAAGCTGTTGATTTGCTAGCACAGTTTTGTTCTTAGGTTCTGTCTTGAGTGTATTTAACCTGCATATTTGCTATAGCATAAATTGTACTTAATTGCCACAGGGAATTAGGGTAAGAGGGGCAAGTAGAAGATGAACATGTTAGTTGGGGCTTCTTAGCTTGTCCTCTCAGAAAACGGAGGTAGACGCTGCCAAAGTCTTTATATTTTCCTCTTCAAAGTATATGTTTTCAGTAGTCTAGGTTATTTGGATTTTTTCATTATCAGCATGGCTTTAAGATAAAAGGAAAGAGCAGAGTTTGCCTTTGCAGTGGGTTGGGGTTTTTTTATTAGTCCCCCACCCCAAATTAAAATAGTTCATTACTTTTCTGTCTTTTATTATTAATCTTTTAAAACAGAGATTCTGATTCTTGGTTTCATGTACTAAGAATTTAAGAGAGGGGGAAATAAAGAGTTTAAATAGGGTCCTGTGCACAATAAGGCTTTAAAAAGAGCTAATTATTGTTTTCTATCTTTGGTCTCCTTGCTTTCACTAGTAGTTGTGCTACTGACACTGTTAGAAAAATAGGTATTTGCAGCAGTTTGTAGTTGGCCTCCTTCTCAAAATAACCTAGACCTAACATCAAAGGCTGTTTACAAAACTGTAAGGCAGAGGGGTTTTTTTTTGGTGTTTTGTATTTCAGCTGTTAACCAGATTATCAACTGATATGAGTACATATAGCTTTACTAAATTTCATGTAGTTATACCTACTTACAGAATCCAAGCATCTTGGTCTTTATGACGACAGGCATCCAAGATGTGACCGTCATTGCAGACTTGTTAAATATCAGCAGTGAGCCAACAAAGCACCTGCTAAGTCTATGTTAGCATGAGCTTGTAGTAGTTAGAACTTGTTTGTGTTTTAGCTGCTTTGAAAAAAACAGAAATGTTAAGAATCTGGTAATTTATGATGTTTCCTTTCAGGACCTCAGGGCAGAAACCCCACTTGGTGACCTGTGGCATCATGACTTTTGGGGTAGCAAACTCAGCAGCAATACCAGTCATAAGTCATATCGACCACTAACTGTCCTAACTTTCAGGTGAGACTTGTCTTTTTGCTCATGGTCTGAATTTTTTTTAACATGTATTCATTCAATTAATAATAGGCAGGAGGCAACAGAAAAGGAGAATGATAAAGTATCTGGAGGGTCATTGAATACCTTTCCTGGATATGATTTTCCTGTTCGTTACCTTAATCTCAATTTGAGTTTTAATTTTCAAATTGTTTTTTTCCCCCCAAAGTATACATTATTTTGACATTCTGTATTTCAATGTACCTTTCGGAGATTGCATCTTATGCTCTTATATACCCTGCTACTAGGGGCAGTGTGGTTCAATATGTAGGTCACACCATCAGAGGCCTAAGAGGTGTATGTTCCCTTCACTTAGCTATGCTGCCACTTATAGTGCTATTGTAGTTTCTGTTTTCTGCCTCTGGTCACCTGTTAAATGGGGTTTTTTTAATAAGTAGCATCAATCTAATAGTGGCCTTTTGCCACTAGGTCACTGAACAGTCTTCCCACCTCTTCCCCCTCTGATACTCCGTGAGTGTTTGTGCCTGAGAATCCTAGTGAGGAAGATGTCTGCCTGTATATATAATTTGCTGGTTTTCTCAAATAATTACATGTTTATGAGGATTAGTTGTGTAGATGCTTAGCTCATGGTTTTTTGCACGAAGATTTGAGCAAGCAGTAGACCATGTACAAACTGGACACAGTAATGCAGAGAATCTTTGAGGACTCACCTTAAGGTTACTTTCCCCATGCAACTCAGTGTTGTGAATGGGGACCTGGCACTGGTTCTGCAGATGTGTCCAGCCTACGCTAGGGACTAAGTGGTTGCAGAAGAAGCACTCCCACTCTTAGTCTTCATATTCAAGCAAAAACTTTGACTCTTGAATGCAGTATCAGTGTTTTAAGTACTTAGCACTGTGGGTTTTAGTCTCCTGGGCTTTCTTGCCATTGTGATGAAGGAAAATATGCAACTGAATAGAAAGTGTCAGAGTCTTAAACCTGTTAAAGCATTCAGTAAAGCTTTCAGTGCATTACACAGCACATGCTTTCCTTTATTTTCACGGTCTCTCTGGTATATTCCATCTCTAGTAACATCTTGATTAGTTTAAAGAAGGAACTGGGATACAGTTATTACTATATCTGAAAATATAGATGAGCATGTGAAGATGGTTCATAAAATGCTATTTTCACAAGTAAGAAATTGGTTTTCTTAATTTCCCTAAGCTCTGATTTATGTGCAACACATTTATAATACGTTAGAGGTTTTTTTAATACATTTCACATAAACCAGCTGCAGACTGACCAAATGAACTGTATAAAATTCCCAATTCACACTAAGTTTCTGTATATCTCACCTACTGATAAAAGTGTATGGAAAATAACAAGATGTTTCTCCCTTTTCTTCTGCCTCTTCATTATAGCCGAGTTCTTATCTTGAATAGGGTTTTAGACTGAATTTTCACTTACACTTCCTTCTGGTTCTAATACTCATATTAAATCTCTCTCTAACCAGTCTCACAAATCAGTTACTAAGATGTGCTAGCTGACTACTTTCTGGATGTCTACTGATTGTACCCAGATGGTTTCCACATTGCCAGTCCAAATGCTAGGACATTTTTCAGCTAGAATGTCAGTGGAAATCATAGTCTCAGTGCATATTAATTTCCTCTTTGTGTGGATTTAATTAAAATAATTTCATCCAGTTGGTTTTGGACATAGTTTCTCTTAAGCCCAAGGGTATCCATCCCCCTAGTAGACTTGTTTTTTTTCCACAAGGACACTCCCGCACTGCAACATTGAACTTACGTTGCCGACCAGAAGTCATTTCTAAGTAACCATAGGTATGATTAACATAATAGCATTAACATATGTCTTTGGACAGGATAGCTATTATGCTGAATATAGTATCCCATATGAATACCTTTGGGTAAAGATCAGGACATTGTTTCTAGCCAACTGTATTGGCTCAGTGGTGATAACATCCGTGCTGGGATTTGATGGGTTTTTTCAGCTTTTTTTTGGGGGGGGAAGAAAGGGAGGGTGGTGCTGTTTAATATGATCTTGCTATGGGGTTGTTTAGGTTTCTTGTTTGCATATCTCTAACCACTGATTTAATTCCTAGCCTTAATGTTCTTGTTTCTGTATAGAATTAATTACCTTTTTGCTGGAGGCTTCTACCCAGTTGGTTTTCATGTCATCAATATAATACTGCATTGTACTATCTCAGTGTTGATGGTTGATGTATTCTCAATATTATTGGGTGGACTGCAGTTCAGTAATAAAGGAAGAAGGCTAAACCTGGCTCCAAAGACATCTCTTCTAGCTGCTTTGCTGTTTGCTGTACATCCAGTGCACACCGAATGTGTAAGTATTGAATAAGGAGCTCCAACGATTTGTATCTTAGAAGTTCTTGACCACTTGACTAATTAATTCTGACAGTCTTATACGCTACACATTGCTTTTATATATTCTTAATACTTCTCTTGGCACATGTCTTACAAGAACCATCAAATGTCATGGTTAGTATGTTCAAAAGATTGTCATTCCACAGGGCTGGACCTTATTGAGGAAGATAGATCATTTAAGTACAATAACTAAAGAAGGATAGCCCTAAACTACAGAGTTTCCCTAGTTACCGAATTTCCCTAATTACTTTTCATTTCTATTTGCTTTGATAAAAAAACAAGGAGATACAAATTTGGAGTAGGAGCATTATATGAACTCTCTATGTGAGCGTATTAGAATCCTGCATCCAGTTTTGAATCCGTGCTGCAAGGACAACATTAGGAAAAATGGAGAGAGCTCAGAAGAGACATGAAAATGATTAAAGGACTGGAAATCATCCCGTGTCATTAGAGATCAAACTCCATGGGTTTGTGTTTTAATATGAAGGAGAAGATTAAAGGATTTAATTTCTTTATCACAATCTGTAATTATGTATGTGGAGAACACAGATTTCATAGTAGTGGGCCCTTTAATAATGCAGACAAAAGAGTAACAGTGGCTGGAAGTTGAAGCTGTAAAGATGCAGAATAGAAACATGGCACGTGTGGCAAAGATCAAAGTCCTCGTGTGGAAATTCTAGTGAAGAGGGAGGAGACAAGGTTTTTTTTTTTTTTTTAAAAAAAGCTCTCTTTTGCGTTCATAGCTAAGAAAATCTTATGGCCTTATGCCAGCGGACTTGCTGGATGTGGTCCCTGATTGCTTGATCTTGTAATAATGAGTAAATGAAATATAAAAAAATTGCAGTGCAGGAGCAATTTCTTTTAGAGTTTGGAAGAACTAAGATACTGAAAAAGTACTAACTTTAACTTTGATCTCTGTGCTAGTAATGAACACTGAATCCTCAATGCACCTTATTATATATATGGGGAACTGATTTTTCATTTATTCACAATATGCTGTGGTTTTGGCTTTTTTTTTTTTTTTTCCCATTTTCTTTGCACATGATTGTTGGGGAAGAGGTTATGGAAAGCTGTCTGGGGACCCTGAATGTATTGGAAACCTAGAAATGGTGCAAAGTTATGTATTAGTAATTTGGCACCTTTTTTGGCAGTGTGGCTAACACATCCTGTCAATCATTCTCTGGTGTTTGCTTGCCTGCAGAATAACTTCTTTGTGAGGACATGTTGTGCTAATGTCAGAAGGGCCCCTTGTATTTTTTCTCCAAAGCCAGTTCTAGATGTCAGAGCGAAGTAAAACAAGTCTTCAGTGCTTTTGATGTTCTGACATGTAAAGAGAAATCTCACTTGGGTCTTAACTTTGTAATAAACTTACTATTGACTCCTTTATCATTATCCCTAATCATCATCTTCATTGCATTTAACTCTTAAAAATATATTTAAATCAGCAGGCAAATGTTAGTAAGACCTTGGTCATGTCTAATAAATTACAAGTGAAGTGGTCTGCTTGCATATGTGAGGTTTGAAGACTTGTGTATACTTTGGGCAAACATTGGAAGAAGAGGAAAAAAGTAGGATGCTTATATACCATGTGTCTTCTAAGATCCAGGAGTAAACAAAGGCCTCTGATCATTTACATGGTGAATAATAAATCTTGCTGTACTGAAGCAGTCATCATACTGCTATGGTTCTAGCATGAGCGTGTGTCAGGCAGCATCTCCTCAAAAAGCATTCTTCATGATTTTAAATCCGTGAGTTTTAAGTATCATGACATCCTGGTTTTGAAATGAGGTGACATATTTTGACATAAAATTGTGAGCAATCTGTCTGCTTGCTGCTTTGGATTTTGGTATATACAGCACAAAACAAACCGTCACATAAAACAGATCTCGAAAAGTTTAAAGCTTTCAGTACCTATGTAAGAAAAACATCTGTCATTTTTCTACCTACATGTAAACACTCCTGTGGTGTGGTTCTCTTTTCTAAAAAATGGGGTTTTTGGTAACACTTGAGCGATGGAATACTAAATGAAACACAGACATAAGAATATTCCTGATGCTAATTTAAAACTGTGGCTTTTTTTGTTTACCTTGTTACCAGCGACTACAGACCTGATCCTGCATTTGAGATAACATTGTACTGTTGGAGTCATCTCAGGCCATATGTGTTATTAGCCTCTTGATCTCTTTGTTGTAACAAGTTGGCATGTATTTTCAAAATTGTGTCAGTTCACCTTTACTTTTATCTCATAAGCTGAGAGTAGCTCTTGAAACAGAATGACACATTGTTATTTTCGCCTTTTAAAGCAGTCCACAACCATTGAGTTAATTCTCGTAATTCGTTTATGAAACAGAAATAGAAGCAGGGAAGTTAGATGCATGGCTTCGAATAAATTAGTAAGTTTCTCTGAACTGCATTTAGGACTCCCAACAGTTTCTCCTTTTACAGTATCAAGTGAAGCTGAGAGTAAAGTGGGGGAGAGTGTCTTCAGTGGATTCAGTCCTACTGTTGTGCCTCTACGCTTCTCTCTGATCTTACTTAGTAATAGTTGTTCCATCATTTCATACTCATACAAAAAATGCCCTTCTCCTAAGAGAGGTTAGCAACCACCTTTAAACAAAATGAAGATACACTTTATCTTTTTACTTTCTTCTTTCTCTTCCACTCACAAAATGGGACAACTGGTGTGCTATACAAAAAATAAAGTTTGTGCTTTTGTCCCTGAAACATCACCTCAAAAAGGGAATTGAAAAAAACCCCTGTAGGTGTTCTGCCCTGCTTCCAAAAGGCCTCTGTGTACATCTTCTCCTGGAAACATGGAACACAGTACTCCAGGAAGCAGAGCTAAAATAAAAAGTAAGGGGTGTTTTCCATAACCCATGCTCTGAGTGTATGGTCCCAACATTAGGGCCTATGCTATCCCTTGCCAACCCCATGTCATGATTTCTACAAAAAGTTCATTGTGTATCTGACACTTTTGTAATTGAGGAATGAAGATCCAAAAATACGTCATGCTGTGTCTCAGCAAGTTCTTGCGAATACAGTTTGAGGGCTTGAACCAAAGCTTGTTGATGGCCCTAGAATGCTCTTGATTTAAATAGGTTAGCACAGATCAGGACTATGGAGGTCCCAGAATGTGCTTCTCATTTTCTGTTGCACTGGTACAGCTTCCGTTACCAGACGCATTTGAGGGTAGCTTTAATGCAATCAATTAATATAACACAAAAAAACTGCCAGAGGGGAGATTTTTTCCTGATTCTGCAGGCTAGAAGCTATTTATCTATTCTGAATGTTCAGACTGCACTTTGAAGGCTGGTTTGTCTTCTGAAAGTGGAACAGTCTTGATTTGCTTTTCAGCAGAGCTGCAGATTTTACTGGGGTTAAGGACGTTTGCTAAAAATTCTACTGAAAGGCAACATAATCTAAAAACGCAGATGGAATGGGGTGGAGTCTATGTTTTTTCCAGTGAGGTCCTTCTTTATTTCTTAAACCAGCAGTTTTTCATATATCAAAGCCAAATCATTCACCTAGTTGATACTAAGCGATATCCAATCAAAATTAGGACGTGGTTCAGAAAAATGTGTATCACTAATCCAGTAAAGCAGTTTAAAAAGAAATAAGTGATACAGCAATATTCTTTTATACATTTCACGTTGTATATGTGTGTATACCTTTATCTCAGGTTTTCTAAGAATGAAATCTGGTAATCTGAAACATTTTTGTCTTTTTTCTTTTTTTTTTTTCTTTTTTTTTATTTTTTTTTATTTTTTTTTATTTTAAGGTTGCTGGGATTGTTGGCAGAGCAGACCTGCTGTGTGCCCTGTTCTTTTTGTTGTCATTCCTTGGCTACTGTAAAGCATTTAGAGAAAGTAAGCATTCTGTTTGCCCCTTAAATCTTATATTGTGTATATTTTCTGCATTCATACATTTCAGTGAAATATAGCAAAACTAAAAATGTCAGCTTGATGTGGTTTGAATTTATTAATGTTTATACATTCATAAAATATTAAGAAAAGCAACCAAAGAAACATGCTTTAGCAAGTATTTATTGTCAGAAGAGCTGGAAGGGTTGCTGTCCCTAATTCCTGTTAAACACTAAGAATTTATATTAAGAAAAGTCTGTTTTATAATAGGCTTATCTGTTAAATGTTTTATTGTTTAGAAGCCAAAGAAATATTTTAGTAAGTATTTTGAAAGAAATATAACCTATAAATGTATATTCTTAAATATTTTAGTACACTTTATGCCATTATGTTGAGATAACTTAAATGGAAATGAACTTTAGGAACCTTAATTGTATTTTTAATGAATTGTAAAGAATTATTCATATGAGTAAGCTCTCTAAATTCCTGGAATATGCAAGTGCTGGCATATACATGCTGAATATAGTGTTACTCAGAGATTTTGTAAGACAGCTCATTGTAGATGTTCTTTCAAGTGAGCTTTTAGATCCATTGTATTATTTGAACTGAATGCAGGTTGGCAGTTCAAATACAGTTGTGGAGAAATTATCTTGGCGCTCTGATAAATACACAACAATACATGAATTCATGATTGTGAAAAACTGTACAAGACACGCAGTCTGCTATCTGAATGTGCCCTGCCACAGGAGATACAGGAATCATCTGGTGAACCTATGAGGAGCTGTGTTGTGAAGAGCTTGTATAATACCAGTTCAATAGACATGGCCTGTAATGTTTAACCAGAGTTGGCGGTGTATTACAGAGGTACTTGATCTGGCTTTAGGTGATCTAGCTTAACAACGTAGTCCTGTCATCAGGCTGAGGGAGTGGGTAAGTTAGTCCACAGGAGCTCTGAGATGCTGTGAGTAGCTCCTGCTGATTGCATTTAGATGTTTTGGAACTATTTTGCATATTTCTGATACCATAAGTTTAAGTTAAATATTGCCACTTCAAATGGTATGTACGGTGATTCCTGTTCACTTTTGATATTTTTCTCCCCTTTGTGTAGGGTTCATTTCTTTCAACTAATATAATTTCTTTATGAAAATTGGCCTTGGGATCTTGCTCGCTCATTTATTCTTTTCTCATCTATTTTACTGGGTATGTCTGTGCTTTGCTTATGCTAGAGTAAATTAGCAAAGGCAAAATACTGGCTATGTGCTTTCCAGTTTGTTGGTGTAGGTAGACCTACGTGGCAGGGGTAATAATCTTTCCTTGAAGAACTCAAGAGCCAAATTTTAGGACTACCTTGGAGAGTTTCATATAGGACTCTAATTATTTTGTTACAGAGGACACCTCATGAATGATTTAAGAATGTGATGTGTACTCTGGTTAGGAATATTCTTATTGCTTGTATAACTTGTAAAGGCCATTTGGATACGTTTTAGAAGTCAATGTAATTTTAGCAGTATTCTTATACTGAAATTCTTGATACAGAAGAACGAAAATATTACGAAGAGAAGATACTAAGCAGCACTTAGGGTTTTTTATTGGATATTACATCATAATAGGGTCAGAGCTGTGTCTCTTAAGCAGATTTGCCAAGGGAAACTACAGTCTGCCAGCACAGTTGTGCCTGTTGTCTTTCAGATCAGTTTTCAATATTTACTGTCACATTCACTGCCTGATTTTCCCTCAGCAACTTCTTAAAGAATCTGAGACTTTCTTTGTACTTAAGAATTTGTATCCAAGTTAAATACTCAAGTCTCTTCCAAAGTTACCTCGTTTTGGGTAGCCTTGTGACACTTTAAGGTTCTTGAGGATTCTATCTGGCATGCCCTAAACAAAAGAATGAAAAGTTATTTCCAGCCCAAAAGGAGGAGCCCAAGCTTCAGAGTACCTCTTTCCTCTGAATTGCTGCAGGCTGATGAGCAATGTGCCAAAATCCAGACATTTCAGAGCTGAGGTTTCAGGCCAGAATGCTTCTGGTCTGAAAACTAACTTTGAAATGCCTTGGTGGGATTCATTGCTCATCCTGTGAAAATAATTCATTTGCAAATTGAATTGCTGTGAAAATCATTCATTTGCAAATAGAAGGGTGGGTGAGATAAAATAGAATAGACTGTATCAGTTGGAAAGGACCTGTAACAATCATCTCCTCCAACTGCCTGACCACTTCAGGGCTGACCAGAAGTTAAAAGCATGTTATTAAGGACATTGTCCAAATTCCTCTTGTACACTGACAGGCTTGGGACATCGACCACCTCTCTAGGAAGCCTGTTCTAGTGTCTGACTACTCTTTTGGTACAGAAATGCTTCCTCATGTCCAGTCTAAACCTCCCCTTGCGCAGCTTTGAACCATTCCCACACATCCTGTCACTGGATACCAGGGAAAAGAGATAAACATCTCCATCTCCACTTTTCCTCCTCAGGAAGCTGTAGAGAGCATTCAGGTGAACCCTCAGCCTCCTTTTCTCCAAACTAGCAAGCCTATGATGCCCTTAGCTGCTCCTCGTAGGACATTCCTTCCAACCAGGAACTCCAGATTCTTTTCTGCAGGGCTGCTGGCTGGGCAATCCCCAGCCTGGACTGTTGCATAGTTCTGTCTTTGATTTTCATGAGGCTTCTGTCAGCCCATTCCTCCAGCTTGTCACAGTCCCTCCAAATGGAAATCCTGTTCTCCACTGTACCCCTAATAATTACTGCCAGTGTGCTTTTACTGATGAACTTCGAGAAAGTGTCAGAGTAACACTGAAAAGCCTGAGTTGATACTACTGATATGTTTGTGTCCTCAGTAACAAGTACTGTTTTGTCACCAGCAGCTAATGCTACTGTCAGACAGATAGATTATCTAAGTCTTCCATAAAGAACCTGACTATTCTTGCAGCAAGGCAATGTGAGATTTGTGTACACCTGTGTTCCAGAAACCTCTCTGTGTTTCAGTAGTGTAGATATAGTTGTTGAACTGTCATTCTTGGTCTTCTCTAAAGGAGAAAAAAAGTCATAGAAGAGAGACTGTTTAGAGCTTGTTTTCACCTGATATCTTGGTGAACGAATCTGAGATTTATTTTTTTATTATTAGTTTGGAGTAAGGACTCATCTCTTGAGGAGGATTTTGGTACTGTGGAGAAAGTATATATCATTCTGAAAACAACTGGGAGGTCAGAGAAGTATCAGTGTCAGACTGGAAAACTTCTGAAGGCAAATAATGCTTTTTGTAAAGCTCAAGATATACTACAGCTTGTTTGCCTGATGTAGTTTGTTGTTTTGGTGGAATTTGGGGTAGACAGTTTCTTTTAGCCAAAATCTGTGGCATTATTTTTTTTCTTTTTAAGTATCAGCATTTAACACACTATGTGTTAAATTATGTCTTGCTGAAGTTCTGAGACCCTGTTACTTTTCTCCAGTATACAGTTTCTGATGTTACCATCTTTGACAGGATAACATTTATATTTGCGAGGAACTAATCTGTTGTTCTCATTCTGTCCTGCTGTTTTAAAACACAGCTGTGGGGACAAATCCACTGCATAGGCTTTGGAGACAGCAAGAGCTGACAACTGTTTAGGTATGTTCTGAAGGGAATTGTGGGTTATTAACTTTGTTGAATTTTAATGCAGCTTCTCTGGGAATTCGTAAGGCGATTTAAAATTGCTTTAGTATTCATTTTGCCTTCGTTTGTCTTCAACTTTGACAGTGATCCAGTTGCCTGTACTTGCCATCTGCATTGGTGATCTCTGAGTGATGTAAAATGGGTGGTTCATGGTTTACTTCATGCAAATAATATTAGCCTGGATATTAAATAGGGGATCAACTGTTTGCTCATATGCTATGACTTCTAAAAATTACTTTGTTCTGGTTGTGTATTTGTTTTGTTCTGTTCTATGTAGTTGTCTGTTAGTCATCTACTAGTTCATTGCTAATTTAATAAAGCATGTGAAGTAGACTGTAGGGATGAGTTTTGTTAATATTGGAGTTTTGTATTATGGAGGTTTTCCTACAGATTTAAGTCTCTTGTATGAGAGAGATTATTATTATGGGGAGTTAGCTATTTTGCAGTTGGTCAAGAGGTATTTCCTATTATTAAACATGATTTTTCAGGTGTGTGAGCTACTGTTCATATTTGAACACATTGGAAGGCAATAGCTGTCTGTGGAAAAACTAGACTTTCAAAGGAGTAGGTGCTTTCAAAGAATGAATTACTGAAGATGGCAGCTACTTAAAGTTTGTTATTTTGGTGGGCGGAGCAGAAACAAAAACCTTTTTTGTAGAATAAAACTGCTAACTTTTGTTTGTTCCAGATGGTGTAATTCAGGGATAGATGATCCCCTTACTGTAGCCTGTATGTAATGAGTTTGAGTTGCTTGGATATGTTTAGGAATGGCATTTGCTATTGTAATTTCATTATTAAGTAAAATGCTGAGCTGCAGTAGAATGTGTATTTGGAGACACACAGGAGATCTCAGGCTTAAGTCAATTCTAACAGTGTATTCTGATGTGATCTTTTAAGACTAGATAATTCTTCCTCCTTTGTTTAGCAATTCACAAACAGGCAAATCTTAGAACTTGGTTAGATGAGTATTTGTAGTAGTTTAGCTGGAAGATGCCATCCCCTTAGTCAAGGCATGTTAATGAAATATACAAGCATTTGATCTATTTCAATTAAACATTCCTGCAGGAGCTCCACATAACTTACTTTGCTTCAACTTTCAAAGGAAGGGGTGCTTTCACAGAATTGGTTGTGGGGTTTCACCTGAAGATGGTGGCTACTTAAATTGCACCAAGCAGTCACCTGGCTGAGCCCTAAGCTGCTCAATTAGCTTTGAAGAAGGAGATGCAGAATGCCTAAATGTTTGAATTGGTAATAATCGTTTGGGATATTGTTATATTGACTTAAAAATAAGCCTAATCTTGGCACTCGTAGTGGATTTAGGAAACTGCAAGATAAGGTCTCTCAAAATAGGATTAGCATTTAGGAAGACACAGTTGAGGTGTATCATCAATAAGCTCCTCATAAATTTAGGATTAGTCAATTCCACGCTGTAAAAAATTTTGTGTATGTTCTAGGAATGCTTATACTGGAGGCTGGCAGTCTACATAGAGGAGCCCTCATGGCTTGTTTATAGTTTATATGGGTATTTCATTGAATCCCCTCAACTTTCAGACTTAAAGTCCTCCTAAAGAAGGGACTATGTGAGCAATGCTTTTTGGTTTTGTATAGAAACACTTCATTCTTCTAGCTTAAAAAAAAAAAAAGAGAAAGCAAGTACTCTGTTTCTTTGGCATGGTTACTGTTTTGTCCATCTGTTAGAGTGGCACAATGCCCACTTACAATATGGTGTACCAGTTTCAACCAGGCACAGGTGCCAATGAAAGATTGGTTTCATTTTCTGACACAACATTCTTCTGGTGGGAAGCAGCGCTGTATTAGGGGAATGTGCTTTGTTAGACTGATTACTTCTGTTGGCATGTGTGTATCTCATAATAATAATTAGCACTTAAGCAGTGCTATACATTTTCAAATCACTGTTAAAAAAAAAAAAAAGAAGGCATTGCTGGATTATGGTCTTTTGTGTCTATTTTTCTCCCCTAGTTTACTGAGATTTCTGTAAACTGGGGCAGGGGAGGAGTGAGCGTTGTATGTATAGACTCAGGAGCAATCACAAGATAAAATGTTTCTTAATTGAAATTCTTTCTCTTTGAAGTTTAATCACTGATAAATTTTCATAGTATTACAACTATATATATGACTGTATTGACCTTTTGAGGCTGCAAAAGAAACCAAAGACAGATTATGGTTTTCAGAAGGAGATCTAGATCACAAAATCACAGAATGTTGGAAGGGGACCAACAAGGTTGGAAGGGACCTCAAGGTCGCCTGAGCTGACCTGCTTGAGCAGGTCACCTACAGCCAGTTGTACATGACCATGTCCAGGCAGCTTCTGAGTATCTCCAAGGATGGAGACTCTATAACCAACCTGGGCAACTTGTGCCAGTGCTTGGTCACCCTCTGAGTAAAAAGGTGTTTCCTGATGTTCAGACAGCACCTCCTGTTCTTCAGTATCATAGAGTTATAGAATGGTTTGGGTTGGAAACAACCTTAAGATCATCTAATTCCAACCCCCCTGCCATGGGCAGGGACACTTTCCACTAGACCAGGTTGCTCAAAGCCCTGTCCAGCCTGGCCTTGAACACTGCCAGGGATGGAGCATTCACAACTTCCTTGGACAGCCTGTTCCAGTGTCTCACCACCCTCACAATAAAGAATTCCTTCCTTCTATCCAACCTAATTCTCCCCTGTTTAAGTTTGAACCCAGTTTATGCCTATTTTCTCTGGTCCTGTCACTGGGCACCACTGAAAAGAGCCTGTCTCTGTCCTCTTTGCACACTCCTTTCAGGTATTTAAGTACATCGATGAGATCGCCCTGAGCATTCTTCCCTTCTCCAGCCTGAATGGTCCCAGCTCTCAGCCTTTTCTCACAGGTGATGTGCTCCAGTCCCTTCATTATATTACTGGCCCTTTGCTGAACTTACTCCAGTATGTCCAAGGCTCTCATGTACTGGGGAGCCCAAACTGGACACACTACTCCAGGTGTGGCCTCACCAGTGCTGAGTAGAGGGGAAGGATCCTCTCCCTTGGCCCGTTGCCAAGTTTTTGTCTAGTGTAGCCCAGGATGCCATTAGTCACCTATCCTGCAAGGGCACATTGCTGACTCATGTTCAATCAGTCGTGTCCACCAGGACTCTCGTCCTTTTCTGCCAAGGGCTTTCCAGCTGGGTGTTCCCCAGCATGTACGGTGCCTGGGGTTGTTCCTCTCTAGGTGCAGGATTTTGCAGTTCTCCTTGTTGAACTTGATGAGGTTCCTGCCAGCCCATTTCTCCAGCCTGTCAAGGTCCCTCTGGGTGGCAGCATGATCCTCTGCTCTATCATCCACTCCTTCCAGTTTTGTGTCACATGCAAACTTCCTAAGGGTGCACAAACCTGTATGTCTTTGGTAAACAATTAATCATATCCTTTTATGTCTTAGAGGTTCACCTAAAAAATATTTTGTCTCAGTGTTTTGGGTTTTCTTCAGGGTAATTTTGACCAGTCAACTTAGTTTTTTTGTTTCTTTAGCTTATCCTTTTGTATCTTCTTCAAAAGTAGGCATGTTGGCATTGTTTTATTTTATTTGAAGTTTCTGGATTCTCATGTGTTCTTCGTGATTTCTCAGAGCTAACAGTAGAGATTACTCTGGGTTGTATATGACCTGTTGGAGGAAATGTAACCAACCGTCGTAATTTAAAACAGACAAACTTCTCTATAAATTCTTGTAGTTCACTATTGTTGCTTTTTGTTCTTGCTCCCTTTCTGCTGGTGGTGTGCTTGCTATCTGGTTGCAGCTGACCTCATTGTGAAAAAGTGAAGCAAAAAGGCACAGAACACTTTTGTTCTCTTGGCACTGTCCATTTACTTTCCCACTGAGTATTGGAATAACTCCTTCCTCGTTGCTGCTCTTCTTACAAATATATCTGTGGAATTGCGGGGTTTGTTCTTTACATATATTACCTTTTCTCATTTTGCAATGTGAGCTTTCTGAGTTTGTTTCTCTGTGTGTGTGTGTGCTGCTGTTACACTTGTTCTTGATAATTCGACCTAGTTCCTTTTTTCCCATTACTCTTAACATTTTGAATCATCGAAGCATTTGTGAATCACCAGCTGGTCTCTTACTATATATACTCCCCTCTATCTTCTGTGTTAAGATCATTTGTATTTGTGTACTGAATACTGCTTCTCTGAGAAGTACTTAGTTGCTCTGACTTATTTTCCACCAGAATTTGATTCTGGGAAGAAGAAATTTCTTAGTAGAAGAAAGCATACTTTGGTAAACTCAGTGAAGTCCATTGGTTTTGTTCACTTTTCTCCCTTTTACGCTTACCAAGGTTGGCTGATTGTCAATTTGTGAACACAGTCAATTACTTCGCCTTCCATCTTTGCATTCTCTGTAGATAGTTTATTTCTACATTAAACAGACAATCACACCAAGCAAACAAACAAAAAAACCCACTAAATCTCAAGAACTGGCTGAACTGTCTGTTGTATTGGCTGAACAGTCTGTTGTGTTGCAGAATCTGAAGAGTTGAAGAGCTCCTTCAAGGATGTATTTAGGACAGGTTCCTTTTATTCTTAGCAGTACACTTAGAACAAATTTTGAACCCCCTTTTCCTATGAACTGCAGCTCTTATTGTTCTGTATAACTCACGTGAGCTGGAGTTTCCCCGTTACATTTTCTTTTTAGTTGCAATGTTTCTTTACTTCAGTCATTATGTACTTTGCGTTTCCATGTTTTGTTTTGGTGGTGTTGAGATCGTGTGACTTCTTTCCTTTAGATGGCTTTCTTTTAACTTTATAACATCTGCACCTCTGATACTAAGTGTGAGGATATAATTTGGATTTGAGGGAGAAGGAGCAAAAGCCTGCTAGGTATTGCGATGATGAATCTCAAACATCTTAATACTCGCAGTGTCGAAGCTTTAAGTCTTAAATAAGGAGTGCTAGAAGCAACCTGTTTTTCTACACATTTTTATGAAAACTTCTGCTCTCTGCCACAAAAGAAGTAGTTTGCCTCAAATGACAGAGGAGACCAATGTCAGCAGATCCTTTTCATGCACACTTGTAGTTATGGTTTGTGTCTGACCAAACATCATCTGAGCTGGTATACTAGTTTCTCTTTATAATCAGTGAAGAGAGTGAACTGCTTCTCTGAAAGGTGGACCACTACATTTAATTAGGTAACTTAATCCCTAAAGGTGTCCCCTTCTCTCAACCAGTTAGAAAGAAAGCCTAGTATACTAGCTTAGGTGTAGGTGTCTACTGCCATTTAGCCTTCCCATAGACCATTTTTGCATTTCTATATAAGTACTGAGGTCAAACCTGCATTAGCAGTAGGAAAGAACTGCTCTAGAGATCAGGGAAAGTAGGAAGGGGATCCAGTTAGTGAATGTAGAGTTCAACTTTATTTTTTCACGTGCCAAGTCAAAGATTGATTCTTGTGATGCCTGTAGAGCCCATGTTGCTTGAACCAAGAAACTCCTCTGAATGAGCAGAGCACTTCCCTCTGTTGCTTGTACCTGTGGAGTAGAGGTTGTGACAGATATGTTTTTATGTGAAGTATGCATGTACTCTGTGTGTGATAGTACATTGGCTGCAGTAGGGCTTATTGTTATATTAACCTCAGAAATGCCTGCTTGTAGTACCCAAAATCAGCTACATGGTGCAGTCTTTAAAAAAGACTCTTTCTTTGAGTAGAAGCTGTAGTTACTCTTGATCTCTTAACCCCAGCATTCCCCACCCTGCTGTAAAACTGCTTCCTGAGTGCAAGAACTAACTGCTTCTTTGCTCAGATGCTGAAATTTTTGAGCTTCATGGCATTCCACTGCAGTGCTAATGAAATGACATGAGGTACTTGCTAAGTGCAGCAACCCTGGAGAAGCAGCTCGTTTTGCCTTTGTAGATAAGACTACAGTTGAAACAGTTTGTGTGTGTGACACTTCATGTGTAACTATGAGAAAGAATTTCTTGTTCTTATGGTAGCTTGGAAGAGAGTGGCCAGGAATGATAGAGCTCTGGCTAAGGATGATAAATGTGTCTAAATATTGGGAATTAACCTTTGCAGATGATGAATTGTGGAAAGTATGTGAAGCTTCTGCCATTCTAATTAATCTGGCTAAAACATCTAGCAAATAGGGAGATTTCTGATGTCTCTGAGAATAGAAAATGACTGCAATAAAGGGACAAATGCCAGCATATTGCAGGAGGTGCCCTATGCTTTTTAAGTCTATGCATCCAGATCTTGACTGACGGAAAAAAATGTGAGATTACATGCTGTATGTTTTTAAAATTCTAATTTTAATGTAGATTTCTAAATTCACCTTTAAATGTAAAAACCTCATACTATGGCATGCTTTATTTTGACAGATAAGGAAGGACATAATTTTTCTATATTCTGGGTGTTGGTGAGTGTTATCCTAGGCGCAATAGCCATGCTGTGCAAAGAACAAGGAATTACAATACTGGTAAGAATCCTCTTACTGACTGAATTTTGACCTCAGCATCTGTCAAGTGCAGTTGTAAAGCCTACAAGGATGAATCCTTTCCACAGCTAATTGTATGCACACCTTTTTGTCCTGTTCTGAAAACTAATTAATGTTGACAAAAAGCATTATTCTTGTAGATCTGTCTTGTGTCCTTGCCAATCTGTTGGAATTCTTCATTTTATCTTTTTTAAGCAAGTTGCATATATCTCTTCATTGTTTTGCAAAATTTGAAAGATTTATAGTGTTAGGTTTAATGCATGTAATGTTCATTGATCTTGTTTTTGAATGTAGTTTTCGAGATAGGAGGCCTACAAACCTCTTGTTGAGGGCTTACGAACAAAGATATAATTGGAGGAGGGCATTTTTAAAAGCTCCACCCTCCTGCTTTTGTGGACAATGTAATTGGAAGTATGGCCATTGTTTATGCATTTCTAATATTGAATCTCTTCCTAATGTCCCTTATTTAAGGATCTGCCTGTGCAAACAGATACAGTTACTGTTCATTTTCATTGTGCTCTTGTTTTTTTATTACTTCAGTGAAGACATTCTGTTTTGAGTGATCAAATCATCTACCTGTAATCATTTTATATAGACATAGATCTTTGTAGATAAATCCAATTTATAGCTTTAAGTGACATAAAGCAACAGAATCAGAAAAATCCTTTGCAGCAAGGACCCTCATGTCCTTCTAGCAAAAAAGGGAGAAATAACTACAGAAAACTTCTTGCCTTAGGACATTATTTTTTTATAGATATTTGTAGAGTGATGTATTATTCAAAGATGTCTGTAAGCAAAATGTAAGGAATTATCTTAAAACATGGTACAATTATTTCCTTTAGCGGTATGAAGTAATTATTTGAGCTAGCAGACACTGAATTGTTATTGGATCTGGGTTTTTTATTTGTTTGCTCTTGCATTGCTAGGATAATTATGTTTATTGTTGTGCTGAGGGGCACGGGTCAGAGGGTAAAAGGATGAATCACATTAAAAAGACTGCTTGTAGGCTGAATGTATTTTTCAGCAGGTTTCTCGCCTTCCTATCTCCATGCTAGTGAAGCAGAAGCCTTTTAACTGCCAGGTGGCCTGTCTACAAGGAACCACACCACACTCTAACCTATCTTCTGTCTTCTCTGTTAGAAAGAGATTTGAGGCCTCCCAGTGAACTAACTTTTTGCCTCATTTAGAACTTTGCTGTATTTTTTTCTGTTTAGTCTTTAGAACAATGAGGTAATTTCCAAAGTTTTAGGGTATAGGCTAAATATTCAAGTATTGTCAAGGTTGGTGATTGCTGAAACATTGAAAAAACGTGGGAAAATGTTAAAGTTGGATTTTATTGGTCACCTCATCAGAATTACCTCTGGATTTTTTTTATCTTTTTTTTTGCTTGCTTACCTGAGGGTAGTATCTGCAAGTGTAGTCCTGCAAAACACCAAATGTGTTCTAGTTTTTAGTGTAATTTCAGGAAAAGCAATCCTGGTACCTCTGTTAAATCTTTCAGAGCCTTTTTTGTGAGAATTTATGTATCCTTTAAAAATAGGATTTCTGAAACCTGACAGTCAAAGATACTATGCTGCACAGCAAAAAATAAGTAGAAATCTCAAAGAAACTCCACCTTACTGACAGAAGCCTTAGTTTTGACTGCAGCATTTATGCTGCAGAACATTTAGGAAAGAAGACCGAAAGGCGAATACTGTTACGACTGTGCGTATGGTGTCCATATGCACATGGTACATGACATTCCCTGCAGGGTTATTCCATGTAACAGGAGAAACCCCATTACAGTCACATGATATTCTACTCAACTGAGCTCAGGTTTTTAATTTACCATTTTGCTATCATTACTACCAATGTATCTCTCTACTTGTTTGGAATCAGAATTAAGATGCTCAACAACTCATGGTAAGAGTGGTACATAAGATGTGGTTGGCTGCTCCATCTTACGCTCTTATTTTTCTTCTTGTTGCTTAGGGTTTGAATGCAGTGTTTGATGCACTGGTGATTAACAAGCTAAATGTTTTGGAGCTTATTCAAAGGTTACTGCATAAGGACAAGTCATTGGAGGTGAGTCCTCAGAGGTTTTGTTCACTCTGTCCATTCAGACAGTCATGTACTAGAAGATAAACAACTTCTGACACTTTTGTGGTTGCTGAGAATTTTATAAAAGGTATTTTCAGTCAGCCTATGCTATGACATCTTTGCAGCAACACGAATAGTAATGGAATAGCATTAGAATTGCATTGGATAATGAAACCCACTCCACACTTCTCTCAACAATGTTGAAATATGGTGTGGAAGAGCTTTCTGCTTGATGCAGTAAATTCTCCAGGGTCAGTAGCTATACATTTGAAATGGTTGTTTAACACAGTTTGGTCAGAGTAAAGAGAGGTATTTATTCAGATTCTCAAATGAAATAGACATTTGAAAAAGTGCATTAAAAAGTCTACTTTGTCAATCTCATTCAAGTATTACACTGGGGTTTTTTTTCAGAATACAAATTACCGAACAGGAGACAATTCCTAGTAGCTTTAAAAAAATATATATATGTAAGCACTAATCAAATAAGGATCAAATTTCTGACTTTTGTTGATATCACTTTATCTAGTATTGGCTCATGGTATCTGGCACCTAGTATTTGCACTGGCAAGCAAATCGCAGAAAGAGTCAGCCTCAGGTGAATGACTGATAGCAGCCAAATAGACTAACAGCATACTAGCTGTTCAACAGCTAAATCATTTGCCTCTCCCATCCAAAGTTCAGCAAGGCAAAGGAGTATTCATTGTACTTTGCTTCAGTCAGTGGTTTCACTGCAGGGAAGTCTTGCTTATGTTTCTGAGTAGCACAAGTCCTATGGAGCTTTTAAATTCCTTTGTAAAGAGTGAAGTGAGGAGTTTCGTGGGGAAATCAGTGCAAATGCAATCTCTGGAACTGAAACAGTAGATTTGAAACCCCAAGAATGGCTGAAGGGTCCAGGGGTATTTTGGGCAGCAAATAAGAATGCTGGATAATTTTGCTATATACTGAGTAATGTTAACTAGCATATGGCAAGGAAAGAGTCTAGAGCTGTAGCAGATTAAAGCAGAGTCAGTACAAAATTAAAGTGATGGAAATAAAAGGTAATAAGGAGGACCCTGGGAATAAGTAGCCAGTCAGCCTCACATCAGTGAGGCACTCACATCAGTGCCTGGTAAGATCATGGAACAGATCCTTCTGGAAGTTATGGCAAAACATATGAAAGACAGATGTGATTAGAGATAGGCAATATGGCTTCACCAAGGGTACATTGTGCCAGACTAATCTGGTGGCCTTCTATGGTGGAGTGACTGCATCAGTGTGCAAGAGAAGGGCTGCTGATGTCATCTACCTGGACTTCTTTAAGACCTCTGATATGGTCCCCCACATTTTGCTGCTAAAATTGAGAGGTATACGTTTGACTGATGGACTGTTACATGGATAAGGAATTTGCTGAATGTCCGCATCCAAAGAATTACAGTCAATTGTTCAATGCCCAAGTGGAAAGAGTTCATATTTGGACCACTGCTATTTAATATCTTCATCAATGACATAGATAGTGGAATTGAGTACAGATGACACCAAGCTGAATGGTGCAGTTGAGGGAATGGATGCCATCCAGGTGGACCTTGGGAAGCTTGAGCCCATGTGAACCTCCTTAAGGTCTTCAAGGCCAAGTGCAATGCTTCTGCACATGGGTTGGAGCAATCCCCAGTATCAGTACAGACTGGGGGGTGAATTGAGAGCAGTCCTGTGGAGAAGAACTTGGAGAATCCTGGTAGAAGAAAAATTGGATATGAGCCTGAAATGTGTGCTTGTGGCCTAGAAAGCCAACTGTATCCTGGGCTGCATAGAAAGAAATGTGGCCAGTAGGTCAAGGTTGGTGATTCTGTCTCTCTGCTCTTATGAGATCCCACAGATCCCGTTCTGGTGTGGGTGAAAGACATGGATGTGTTACAGTATGTCCAGAGGAGGGCAATAAAATAGCCAGAGGGATGGAGCACCTCTCCTGTGAAGAAAGGCTGAGACAGTTGCAGTCGTTCAGCTTGGAGAAGGCTCCAGGAAGACCTTATTGCGGCTCTTCAATATATATAAAAGGGGCTTATATGAAAAATAGGGATTATTTTACCAGTGCATGTAGTGATAAGACAAGGGACAATGGTTTTAAACTGAAAGAGGGTAGATCAAGATTGAATGGGATAGAACTATTTTCAGTTGGAAGAGACCTGGATTGATTATCTATAGTCCAACTGCCTGACCACTTCAGGGCTGACTAGAAGTTAAATCTTGTTATTGAGAGCATTGACCAAATGTCTGTTGAACACTGACAGGCTTGGGTCATTGACACCTCTCTAGGAAGCCTGTTCCTCTGTTTGACCAGTGATAAATTCTTTACAATGAGGTTGGTGAGACACTGGAACAGATAGCCTGGAGACGTGTTCAAGGCCAGATTTGACAGGGCTTTGATAAACCTGATCTAGTGAAAGATATCCGTGTCCATGGCAGGGGGTTGGACTAGATGATGGTAGGTCCCTTCCAACCCAGTCTACTCTATGATTCTGTGAAATGTGTCAGCATCAAACTTTTTGGAAGATAACTCTTTAAGCATGAAGAGTTCAAAGTGTTATGTTACCAGTTTGTGACTTTTAAACAGTTCTGTCTGGGTAAAGAAAGCGTTACATAGCCTTTTTCTTCCTCTTTTAATAGAAGCAATTAATTTTACCTCCTGCCACTTAAAAAATCTGTTCTTTTTTTAGTAGAAGTGTATCTAAGACTTTTGTTTTGTTGAAAGGTAGATCTTAAATTCTCATACTTGTAGATTTTTTTTTTCTTCTCTATTAAGACAGGTTTCAGTTTCATGCCAGATTTTAGTTAACTCTAAATCAAAGACAATAAAATAACACTTCCACTTTTAAAATTCTTCCTACTAAGGGATTTTTGTGGCAGTTTCTGAAATCTGGCTTTTAAGAAGCTGCATGTACCGTTAAGTGAAACCTGGGATAAGAGGTTTTGTGTAGTTAATCTGTCATAAGGCAGTTATAAATTGTCACTACATGGTTAAGTTGGAAGTAACCGCTTGAGCACAAAGGCTCTTTGTGTAAAATCAGCATTACAAACTTCTTCATCCTTAGGCATTCAGCTAAATATTTTATCATGACTCCATTGTCAACTACAGATACTAAAAACCCATCTGAATGTTGGTTTTAACCTTAACTTTTCCTCAGTTACCATTTGCTATCTTGATAGTGTACTATAGGCTTGGATTTGCATCTCCAAGTTGTGAAAAGGCTATCACTATAGTTACTGATTATTCTGTGTCCAGTACCTACTGGTGAAGCCTGAAGAACCTCTGCAGTATACAGTGTTTTTCTTTTCATTTATGCCTGTCATTAGCTTTTTAATCACAGTAGCAATTGTGAACATTTTAATTGTTTCTTATTCCTCTTGATATGTATGTAATTTTACCTCCAGAGAGACTTAAGTGGACAAAACCTTTGTGTGACAGTGATAGTCAACTGGATATACCTATTCAAAGCAAAGTTCACAAAGTAACCACAGAATCACAGAATCACCTAGGCTGGAAAAGACCTTTAAGATCATCAAGTCCAACCTCTACCCCAGCACTGCCAAGACCACCACTAAACCATGTCACTAAGTGCCTCATCTACATCCATTTTAAAAAGAAAAGATAGACCATATATACTAAAGGCTGTATTCTGCTCAAATTCCTATATATACAAATTCCTATATACTATATATACTATTCCGTATATATACTATATATGCTATAAACTAAAGGATGTATTCTGCTCAAATTCCTTGACAGAAATGTCTGTGTAAAATTACATCAGCTATAGTTATTGAGGATTTGTAGAAGAGAGACTTCTCGAATAAAAAAGTTTTCTGATTGAGAAGAAAATGAAAATGCTTGCAAAAAATATTTTGCAATTAGTCAGTGAAAGCATAGTAAAGTTTGAGAGCTTTCTAGCAACTGCAAAAATAATGTCAGCTCTAATAGCAAAAATGGCGAGGAATAGCCTCTTCTCTCTGAGACAGTGGCCAAAAGGATAAGAATGTAGTGGAGGAGAAAACAAAATAATGTTTTTTATGTGAAGGTTTTTTTTTTCTTTCTTTCTTTCCTGTAGAATGCTGGTCTGATAAGGAAGGGGCTGCTTTTCAGGATAACTCTTCTGATGTCTGGAGGGGCCAGTATACTTTATATACGCTGGAGGATTATGGGCACAGGGCCTCCGGCTTTCACTGAAGTAGACAACCCAGCTTCATTTGCTGACAGTTTGTTTGTGAGAGTAAGTTATAAAGTTGCTTTTTTCTGGCCAGCTCAGAACATTTGTCTTTGCCATCAAATTAAATTTTATTTTCTGTGCTTCAAAGAAACAATAAAGTAGGCAGTCTTTACACTTAAAGATGTGATGTGTCACCTTCACTTGTGCTGCTGTGATGCTTTTCTGAATCTTTTTTTTAGATAATATACCTTGTATATTCTTTGCATTTAATTTAGCATGCACTGCACACATGGAAGTACATTTCCATTTACTCACTATTTTTCCCATGCATTCAAGGATTTAGCTTTTGCTGATTTTTATCCCTTCTCCACATACTGTGCTTGACTTTTCATCTGTTCTTTCACAATTGAAGAAAATAGCATAAAGTTCTGGTCTGGTACATTTGAAGTATGTCTTGTCTGACTGCATTAAGGCTCTTTCCGGAAATGGAGAATGAAGAGTGAAGACAGTGGGTGCTTTCTTTCGACATTTTCTCTTATTGTAAGAGATTATTCTTTTTACATGTGGATATTGGTTGGACAGCACAAAATTGCATTTGACAGTTCTGAATAGCAGAGCCACCTAGCTATGTTTAAAAAAAATCAAATTAAAATTTAATTTCACAGCTGTAAAATAAATGGATATGTAACTACTTGTAGTCTAACAGTATTTAAGATCTCTTTATTGTATAAGGTATATTTTGTTGTAAGGAGAATGACAGCAGAGAGAAGAAATAAAGTTGCCCCCCCCCCCAAGTTTAGTATCAAATAAATGTTTGTTTTCTTTTTGACTGACAGGCTATAAACTATAATTACTACTATTCATTGAATGCATGGTTGCTGTTGTGTCCCTGGTGGCTGTGTTTTGATTGGTCAATGGGCTGCATACCCCTCATTAAATCTGTCAGCGACTGGAGGATAATTGCACTTGCAGCACTTTGGTTCTGCCTAATTGGTCTGATATGCCAAGCTCTGTGCTCAGAAGACAGCCATAAGAGAAGGTAAGAGACAGCAATGAATTTTAAATGCCTGGCCAACTTAAGTATACTATTATTTTGTTAAATCCACTATTGATAATTTTAAGTATTCAGTAGAACCAGTGTCTAGCAAATGCAGTTCAAATAAATATTTATAGCTGTCATTACAGTTTTACCCCAATTTGGGCCCATCACTGTACACACACTACTAGGAAACAGAGTTGGAAGAGGAGGTACGGATGGCTGCTTTATTTTTCTCATGAAATGGCATTTTGAGATCCTTAACACTGTAGGTGGTAGAAAGTAGTATGTGCTCAGAACAGAGTAGGAAATGATGTATGTTGTTGTCCCTACTTCTTACGAGTCATCATCTCTTTTAATCTTCTCCTAATAATGGAAAAGAGATGTGCCTTGACAGGAGGTAGAAATGCTGGTGGTGGCCATAGATTAAAAAGTAAAATGCTGACCCACAGTATGTACTGAGGAAAGTACTTGTACTTTACCCAAAGGAACTAAAAAATTTGTTGTAAACTATTCTATCTCACTAAGGGCTTCTGTTTAACTTTTCACATTCTGTTCCCATGGATTTCATGTATGGTCAATTTCTCAGTTCTTTAAAATTTTTCAACAAGTCAGTCATAGAATCATAGAATGTTTTGAGGTGTAAGGGACTTTAAAGTTCATCCACTAGACCAGGTTGCTCAAAGACCCATCTATCCTGGCCTTTAAGGCTTCCAGGAATGGGGCATCCACAACTTCTCTGGGCAACCTGTTCCAGTGCCTCACCACCCTCACAGTAAAGAACTTCTTGCTATATCTAATTTAAATTTACCCTCTTTCCATTTAAAGCCATTACCTCTTACCCCATTAGTACATGCCCTTGTAAGAAGTCCCTCTCCAGATTTCTGGTAGGCCCCTTTAGGTACTGATAGGCTGCTGTAAGGTCTCTCTGGAGCCTCCTCCAGGCTGAACAACCCCAGCTGTCTCAGCCCTCTGAGCATCTTCGTGGCCCTCTTAAAAGTGCTACAAGTAATGTCATACTTACTAGTAAAAATGCACTCACTGATCCTATATTGCTGAACACTTTTTTTGTAACAAGTAAAGAAAAAAATATAGTGAAGGCCTGGGGCTCTTGGGGATGAGAAAAGAGGAAGAGGACACATCTACATTACAGTTTAGAGATTTATTTGTAATAAATTAGAGTAGAAAACCATCCGTGTGGCCTTTATAACAAACACCTGACACAGACCTGGAGTTCTTACTCATGTCAGCTCTGTAAAAGCAAAGTACCTAGTCTCAGTTGTTTAAGCTCTGTATAGTCTGTCAAGAGTTACCTGCACAGGATTAATCATCCTAAAATAGATACTTAAAGAAGACAAGCTGCTGTGTAAGCAGCATAGATTACTAACTTTCAAGTGGTTAACCACAATGGATCCTACTATTGATGTATTTGTTAGGGGAGAAAAGACTTTCTCAGTAGGATGTATACCTAAGTTTCTTCTTTAACCACACGCTATATTTTCCCCCTCTTACTGTCTTACTAGTTCCAAAAATAAAGAGGTAGCTTTCACCATTATTTTTCCTGCCTGTGTATTTTAAATAGAAATTATGTAATTAATATGTAATTGGGCTATTTTCTGGCCTGGAAGCATGAACATTGCTTTTCTGGAAATTACAGCTAGGATTTTAAAAGTGCCTGATGGAATGAAGTGTCAAAACCTCACTGAAATTTATTTTTTGTTAGCAACTCCCAAAAGCTGCATTTGAATGCCCTGTTCCATTTGCATATCCTACTACAGTGTTTAAATAATGTTTATACGTTAAATGGAAAAGGTGCTTTTGTTAAGATATGTGGTTAATTTAAGAATCTGTTTCTTTTTTGCAGAATTCTTACACTGGGACTTGGATTTCTTATTATCCCTTTTCTTCCTGCAAGTAATCTGTTCTTCCGAGTAGGATTTGTTATTGCAGAGAGAGTTATCTACCTCCCCAGTATTGGATATTGTATTCTGTTTACATATGGATTTAGTCTCTTGAGTAAGCAAGCCAAGAAAAAGGTAACATCAAAACAATCAGTAAAGTTGATGATGAAGTGCTTCAGGTGAATGGTTTGTTTCTTAACTTGTCTCTCTTTCCTTAAGAAAATTCTTGCTGTGGCAGTACTTGGCATCTTGTTGATAAATGTTATGCGCTGTGCACTCCGCAGCAGTCAGTGGAGGTCAGAAGAACAGCTTTTTAGGAGTGCACTCTCTGTGTGCCCTCTGAATGCAAAAGTAAGTGACTTGTGTGGACTTTTAATCTTTTTTTTTTTTATTTTTTTTTTTTAGAAGTGTTTTGAGATTTGGGATAGAGGAGGTGGTGTGCATGGTTAATATATCATGTTATTCACAGTCTTGCTTGGTGCAAGAATATGACATTGACATATCAGTCACCTAAATTACAGATGTAGCATAGTCAAAATACCAGACTGCAAATTACAATACTGTAATTCAGAACGTGGGGGTGGGAGTAGAGAGGGGAGGGAGAAGAGGGAATACATTTCAGGAAAGGCATCCAGTCAAATTGGATGTACTGTTAATAAAACCTACTAAAACAATTGTGATTATAATTGCAAGATATTACAACAAAACATCAAAAGGAAAGTAAGTTGTAGAAATGTATTCACCAGAGTAACGCCTATGGTATATTTTTACAATCCTTTGTGTGTGTCTTCCAGTGGTAGATATAGCAAACACAGGTAAGGGACAAAGTGCCATATCATCAGTGTAATTGCAGAATGTGGGGGTAAAATCTTTGCTCCCATGTCTGCTCTCTTACAGTGGCTGAATGGGCTAGAGTCTTCAGACTTGGGCGGTGAGGAAAACTGCAGTATTCCCTGCAAAGTTTGGTGTGGAAACAGGAAAGTGGGACTGGGTAGGATGTTTCACTGGGCTGAGCACCAGTGTTTGGCATAGTAGGCTGAATCTAGCTTGCCAACAGAGGTGACCTCCACAGCAGTCCTTTGACAGCTGAGAGTGTAATCTGTTGGGGCATACCACAGGGCCCTCATGTTGTCTGAATTTTAGCAGACTGTCTTTGAAGAGCCTTGGAATAGGAATGTGCAGCTTGTCAATACAAATACATTGATGTCTTAAAAGGTTAGATTTCTGCAGTCTAGAGTGGCATCTAGACAATACAGGTCAAGACAGAGTTTAAAAAGGAACCTGTGAATGCTGAACTTTGCAAAGAGAATGATAAACCTAGCATCTACTGGAATGCAAGTATGCAGCAGTGAGTTGTAAAAAACATATATGGCCAATACTTACAAGACGGTGGTGTATTTCAACAATCTCAGATTTCAATACATAGAAGAAGAGCTGTTGTATTTTATTGTGTGGCAGTGGTAGGCAACCATCTTTTTAATGATGACCTCAGTATATCTTGTCTTCTGGATGACAAGCACATACTATAAATGGAGCAAATGCAGTCTGTTTCTTTGTGTGTTATTCCATCCATCTGCCATGGTTAGAGTGCTTTAGACAGATCCACACTCTTTGCCTGTGCTCCAAGCTCCTTGGACTCAGGCCATGTCTGGCTGGGAAGCTGTGTAGCTATGTTCACACAGTGCTGTGCTTGAGCCGATAAGCTGTATGCAAGCTACTGAACTAATGCAGTTGGTTCAAAGCCAGTGAGTGTACAGGGAAAATGAGCTTGTGTTTGTCAACACTGGGCCGTGTAGACACGCCTGAGCTGTAGTGCTGCTAGTGACAGCTTGCTCAAATGGAAAGCGTGGTGATGTGAACAGGGAAAGGTTTGTAGGTTCACATTCCAATTTTGCTGAAGGAGTAACTTTGAAAGCACAGTAGTAGGGAGCTTTCCTAGGCAACAGCATTAGAGAATCCATGTGTGAAAGCCAGTCTGTTTTTTTCTTTATGATTTCAGCTATATTTATTCAATTTTGACAAAAATAAATGTAAAAATTGGTACTAGGTTCTGTTCTGGTCTTCTGTTGTCTTGAAGCTGCAGATTTCCTTTATAAATGACTCCACAGGACTTTCTTTCAGTGGCCCATTTATTTCACTGGGAGGTTGATGCAGACCAAAAGATGAAACACAGATAATAGGTTTTTCTTGTTCTTGGAATATCTTTAATATTTGTAATGTGGTCATGCTTTACTTCCCTTATGTAGCCAGGGTGCCATATTCTTCAGGTGTCCCCCAACTAGCAACAAAAGCTGCAGCTCCTAGTTTGTGTTCTGTGGTACAGCTCTTCAATTCCAAATTGTCTGCCTGTAAACAATGTGGAGTAAACTTACCTTAATTCTAAGTAACGGGTAGTTACAGCAGTGCCTTCTCTAATTTAAAGACTCATCTTTAAAATTCTGTTTAGACAGAGGTGTGGAAACTGCATTAAATCAGACTGTCTGGCATAGTAGTGAATCTATCCCCTTGAGTGATGGACGCATCTAGTTTGAGGATGAAATTTAGCATCAACTTTGATAAATGTTGCCCAATAATTTTAAAATTCAGTGGAAATAATCAGGTACCATAACAAAGTTACAGAAATTTTGATTAAAAAAAAAGTTTGCAGTACAGATTTTTAACTGTTTTAAATATTTAAAAATATTTAAAACATTTTGTTATTTTTTTATGTATATCATACAGATTTTTAATTTTTGTTTAAGAGAGAGAAAGAAGCATGTTACAGATCTGGACAGGTTAAACATGTCAAGGATTATGTCACAAATTTGAACTTGAATGGCCCTGCACTTGGTTTCAAATGTTGTTAGACTGAAACAGTATGCATTTTTAATACATTCGGTAGTATTTTTCTTAGCTGAACAGAAGGTCCCTGAATACTGATTCCTTTTCCTCAGACCACCTTTATTCATAGCTTATAGATTGACTTAATTCCTGGAGCTCAGTGGTTATATACGCTCGTATGAGTTAGAACCAGGCCTGTGTTGTTTATGCTAAAGCAAATTTTGTGAAGAATTACAGGGACTGTTTTCCCCAGCTACATTGATCATATGTTACAGGTCATAACAGGTTTTATAAATAGGTAGTTTATAAATTTGGAATATTTCAGTACTACTGGTTTAAAAGGCTCACTGGATCCAATTTGGCATCTTTTCATTTGATGTTCTTATGTTGCAAGTTTAGTTTGCCCTGGAGTGCTTTGTTGAAGTACTGGAATATCTAATTATGGGTTATGATAAATGCTGTTTCACCATGTCAGACTACTGGCTTGGATTTATCTCTTTAGGTTTAGACATCTACATCTGACGGAGTCAGCCAGGGTCCCTTTATAACTAGGGAGGAGAAATTGTCCCTTTTAGCATGTGATTCATCATTGCCTTGGACTAAATGATTGACGTAGGCCAGAAAGACTGCACCCTAGATCTGTGTCCTTCTCTCCACTGATGATAGAAGAAATCCTAGAGCAGATGTGGATACGTAAGGTTACGTGAGATTTTGCCCTTGCTCTACTGCTGTTCACTGTGTCTAGACATTGCTGTATTGCTCCTCACCTTCTGAGGTCATTATACATTGTTTCTTTTAATTTTAAAGATTATTCCCAAAATTGCTATCATACTGCTTTTTTTGCTGTTGGAATTGTTTGCACTTTTGGAAGTGCCAGGTTACTTTTTCTCAGCTTTTAGCAAAGCCACGTCAGTTTTTAAGAATCCAGAAATGGTCTTTATTTCTGGATGACTTCCTCTGATTATCTAAATAAATTGCAATTGCATTGTTAAATATGTGGGAAATACCCACCATTTTTCTTTTCCTAGATGTGAAATAAGTGAATTTAAATGATTTTGAATTGTTAATATTCTGTATGCAATCTCTGCATTCTCCTAGCTACTGGCTTTTCTTTAAAGAATAGAAATTAATATAATTTTAAAAAAAAATTTCACTAGCAACTTTTCTGCAATAATAAACAAGGAAGTATGATACTCCCAAAAGAACATGTTACTAACCAGTCTGCCTTGACATACTAAGGGTAGTAACTTTGTACTTGATGCTTTATGCAGATTGTAATAATTATAGATACAAATTTGTCAAAGATAAGTTATGCTAATACTGAAAATGTACAGCAGAGTTTGAGATTACTTTCTATACTTTCTTAAAAGGGCTTGTGAAACCACTTTATGACAGAACAAGGTTTAGTGCTGTTTAAGGACTTATGAAGCTGATCTAGACAGCATTTCCTTTAAATACTGAGAATTTTTTCCTATGCTATATATTAAATATCTTCTGCAGAATTTACCTTAAGTGGGCTATGTTTATAGCAGCTATCTGCAGTGTTTTGCCACACAGATACCATTTTTTTGTATTCAAGCACAGTCACACAGGAGAACTTCCAGACAACATTAGCCACACAAACAAAATGTGAAGTTCAAAAAGGCTTTATTATTATTTAGAAAACAGAATTTCAGTAGTAGAGGAAAGACTGTTTGGTGAAGCGAGCTGGCATTGAACAGAAGCATCTGCATGTTTCTGTACAAATTTTGACATCTGTGCTTTGCCTCCATCCTTCTCAGCAAATGTTCGTATTTGCTGAAAAAGTAATTATAAGCAGCTAGGAAGAGAGAATAAAAGAGTTGATAATAGTAGTGCTCCAACTGAGGGGGTGTACCTCCTAGAAGATGATATTACATTTCAATTACATCCTACATTGCTTTGAGTAAAACCCAAAAAATCTGTTTGACAGCAAATTTGGTTTTGTACGGGAAAATACAATTTTTTTTCTCCCGCATTTAAACGTGTGTGCACATTTAAACACTTAAATAAGATTTCAAGCGCTGTGTGTCTAACATAGTATGATGTACAGTGCTTCTGCTTTTTTATACTGGATTGTTAGGCCAACTGAGATACTGCAAACAAACAGAATCAATTCTTTGGCTAGGCTATGGTGCCATGGTTATGTTAACTTTAAAAAACACATGCCTATTGACGTCAACTAGGTTCTACCCTATGGTATTTTTACCTAATTGCCTTGAGAGAGAATATTGTGTTGTTTATGTATCTCTAAGAAATGCTCTTTTAGCGCAATTACTGTAATTACCTGTTTAAAATTTATAAAGGAGCGTGTGGGCATAATGTAATATGTCATTTCCAGTTAATATCTATCTTTAATCATTTAATAACAAAATGTTATGTCTGGTTTTAAGTGTTTAATCAAGAAAGTAAAATCCTCCCTCCCAGGCTGGCATGTACACTATCTGTCAAAGGCAGAACCACCACATCTCTAGAGATTAAATAGCGAGCATCACACTGGCCCCTCATTTTTTAAAGCCCAGGTTCTTCCCGCCCATTGGTATGTAGAAAGTGTTGGTGTCTTCGTGTTGTGCAGGCAGGGGTCATAGGAGAAGTCAAGGAACAGTACAGCCTCATGCTTAGCAGAGGGCAGATAGTTATTGTAGGCCTAGTTTGGGGGAGCAGAGCTAAATGCAGATCTTGGCATCTCCCTGTCATGGCCAGTAAAGTGAGAGGCATGACTGTATGGCAAAAGTCGCCTGCACCTCTCAAATGACTGCATGCCTGAACGCCCTTTGCCGACTGTTCTGAAGAGCAGGATGTTGCTGCATGTTGTAATCCATTGTAAAGCTGGTTTTGTCACTGGATGTTTATAGTGGGCTGAGGAGTTCTTCTGGTATGTTTTAGTTTTTCTTCTCTTCCCTTCTTTGTCACCACCACATTAAGAGAACTAAAGCTACGGTATCATCTGAAGGAAAATAAGGAAACCTACATATAAGGAGAACCTCTTCATTTTCAGCAGTATTGTATAGAAACGTTGTTTCCTTTCACAAAGAAGCTATATCTAAGGACAGAAGAAATACACCATTGAAAAGGCTAATAGTTTATTTAAATAGGTTTGCTCTCAGTTTTAATAGAGTATAGTATGTCTTTTTAGTTCAGTTCATAAAATATACATGTACACTTAATATTTCATTTGATGTTTTGACTTGAGAGAATTGATACCTCTCAGGTTTCTGCAGTCTACATAACTCTGTTTACATAAGACAAATATTCTTTCTGATGCTGCTTTTGAGATAGAAATTGATACGAAGAAATCACATGTTTTTAAAAAAATGGGTAAATAGAATCAGAAAATGAAATGCTGACTGTTTCCTAATGTAAGACAGCTGACATGTGAAAGACTGAATGGTTGGTGTATACCAAGATTTTTGTCATATGCTCTGTCCCCAATCTTTAATAAGTTTGGGGGTTTTTTTCTCAGTAATGCTTATGACTTTTGTAAAAAAAAACCAAAACAAAACAAAAAAAAAACCCCAAAAAGCTTCTTAAAGGTTAAATATAATCTTGTTTGCCAATATTGAAGGGTGAAGTCAGGAATTTTAAGGGCTAATATATATTATTGAATGAAATCATTCCTTACTTCTGTTTTGCCACAATTTATCTGGAAACACAGCAAGGTCTAATTACCTAATTTGCTCTGAATAAATTCTGAGTCTGTAAACTTTAGCATATATAATCAGAGCAATCCAGTGTGGTAAGAATATTATCATAGTGTACTGAAAAATTTCTGGAAGAAAGACAAATAGTATTCAGTCCTAAGAAACATCTTTTAAGGTATATCATGTTACTTTAATGACTCCTGGGAAAAAAAAAAATGCTATTCTTTTTTTTTTCTTGACACCATCGACTGATCTTTAGGAGTGCCTATGTCTTGATGTAAAAGTACCATTCTGTTGCTGCTTTGGCACGGGCCTTGTCATATTTTTATGAATGTACAATAGAAGTGCTTTTTTTTTTTTTTTTCCTGGGAGCTGTGTTAGAACTACCTTTATAGGATGCTGAATTTGTGTGTGATTTTATATCTAGCAGCCTGAGGAACAGCCATATCTGTGTATGCTTAGTAAGCTTTATAGCATCTTTGCTCTCTGTAGAACCAGCAAAACTACTTTTTCACTGATTTTGGAAAGCATGGAAAATGTTCTTAACTTTATTTGTTGACGGTATGTTACTGCATAGTCACAATCATATAGAGATGGAATTCAACAATTAAATACCAGAACAACTAGGTTCAAATATAATTGTGTGCGCTAGATCAGTAGGTCCCAGGTATTATGCCAAATACAATTAGGAATTTTCCTTTGATGGACACACCAGATGGTAGAATCCTTTTTTGAATGTGGGTGAATCAGAGTTATCTAAACGCATTACAAACTTATTTTTGTACTTCAATCTGAAGCAATTCCTGCATAGTGTCTTTGAAAAGATTTAAATTAGATTTTCAAGGTATGGAAGAAATGACAATATGTGTTTGTTTCAGATAAAGTGTATACAATTTGATTTCAAATAGTAAGGTAATTTAAATAACAAGTTCAGATCTAGTTGCTGAAAAGTCTATTTTCAGGAGTCAGTACTCACAGTACTTTTCTGTTATTTCTAAACTTGAGTCTTCCCTTTGATGAGGTAATGTAGTCTTCTGAGATTTGCCTTAAAGTAGGATTGAAGATGCTTTCCAACTGACGTTTGTCCTGAAATACGTTTTTTCCTATCTGGTCTGTGCCATAAGTTCAGATGATTTGTTTTCTTCCCTGTAGGTATATCTCAAAGCTTTAAATCCTTCCTTCGTTCTCTACTTTTTAACAGGCAAGGTCTCCAACATGTTGCTATATACATTTATTTCAAAAATGCTTTTTGATGCATTTTTATCCCAAGGCATGTCTGTTATTTTTCCTTTGTTTTTGAAATATGTAGCTTATTTTTTCTGTTAGTGTTGAGTTTCTTCTAGTTCATGCTATAGAGAAAGCAAAGTTCAATCAACATTTACATTGCTGTAGTGTTTCTTCTGCTATGGTAGGTTTGAGTCAGGCTTTCTCTTACATATCTGGCAAATAAATGAAATGAAGAGCGGGAGTTCTCCATATAAAGAGCCTTACGAAAAGTATGGTGGCCTCATTTATAAAACCAGGAAGTGAACAATCTTTAGCCGGAACAGAGAAGCTGATTTATTAATTTATTCTGTAGATTTTATCTTGCTGTCTTCATCATATGTATTGTCCAGTCTTAAGTATCCAACTACAAAAAAACCCAGCAGTGAATGATGGAAGTGCTGACTGTTTTTATTTGGAGTAAGAATTTTTAGCGATTTGGCTTCACAAAAAATCTGACTGTGTAACATCTAGTAGAATATTCATCTGTGTTTTCAGGTGCACTACAATGTTGGCAAAAACCTGGCTGACAAAGGAAATCAGAGTGCTGCAATCAAATACTACAGAGAAGCTGTAAGGTATTAGGAATTTTACTGCTTTAATGGTCTATCGTAAAATTTCTTTCATGTTCAACATGAAGAAAATGCTTAGGTATTCATTTTCATGATCTGCAGCATTGCAGAGCTAGCCATTTGCATATAGTAATACATGTTCCATACGTAATAATCATCTCTTAAATTTTAAATTTTAGGTTGAATCCTAAATATGTACATGCCATGAACAACCTTGGAAATATTCTGAAAGAAAGAAATGAGCTCCAAGAAGCAGAGGAGTTGCTGTCTTTAGCTGTACAAATACAGTATGTTTAGAACAATGCTAAGTAGCGTTTTGCACCAACTGAGCAGAAACTATACAATCAATAGGATCTTTTGTTCTAAATGCTCAATTGTTCTCTCTCTTCTTTTTTCCCAATTTGCCCAGACCTGATTTTGCTGCTGCATGGATGAATCTAGGAATAGTACAGAACAGTTTAAGAAGGTTTGAAGAGGCAGAGCAAAGCTACTGGACAGCAATTAAACACAGGAAAAAATACCCAGATTGTTACTACAATTTAGGGCGGTTGGTAAGTGCTTCTGAATAAATTACATCTATGACAGGAAGCTCTGTGTGTGTGCATATAATATATATACATTAAAAAAAAAAAAATCTGCTGTACTGTTAAATGCTGATAGTTTAATTTGGTTTCCTTGATTTGTAGTTCAGGGTGACTGAGTATTTTTGGTAGCTTTTCCTATTGCTTTCCCAGCATACTTCCTTCCATAGCAACCTTCTGTAGTCCTACTTTTTTCATACAGAGAGGTATAATGAAAAATATAGATTGTGGTCTTTTGTTCAAAAGACCATTTCCCAATATTAGACAGTTTTCAGTTGTAAGTATATTGTCAGGTAGCAGAACTATGCCCTAAAAAAATAATTTAAATTCTTGGAAATATTTAACTAAATATTTACTTATTCTTTTGTGTAGATTTCCAGATTCTATGCTGGTTTTCTTCCCTATCTTATTGGTGCCAGAGAAAAGCAGGTTAATATTAGTATATAGCACTCTCTCTTCCATTCTAGCATAGTATTCTTTTTACATTTCACATTTTTGTCTATAAAAACAAGTTCTACTAGAATGGAATAGCTCTTTAGAACAGCTCTGTAGTGTCTTTTGTGCATGAGAGGGAAGTAAAACAAATCAGAGTGAAATTACTGGGCTTTTCTTTGTTTTTTAGTACGCAGATTTGAATCGCCATATAGATGCCTTGAATGCATGGAGGAATGCTACAGTTCTGAAACCAGAGCATAGTTTGGCTTGGAACAATATGATTATATTGCTTGATAACACAGGTATAAGCCTATTTGAATGTCTTCATGAATAATTCAGTGTATAGCAAAACTTAAAGCTTTTTCTGTATTTATCTAAAAGGAGTTCTGCCTCTTGTTTGGCTACCCAGACACCCTATAAATGGTTTTAAAGCGTCACTTGGAATCCAGCCCATAAATTGGATTTCTGATCCTTACTTGAAATGCCATCATTGTGGAAGCATGTTTGTATTGTAGACCAAACTTAACTTTTCAATCTGTGCTTTGTAGTTCTTCTGAAGGTGTTATCTGTTGAAAACAAAATGGGGGTTTTCTGTTGTCTTACTCTATGCAATTTTACATTTGCATGTGTATGATAACTGGTTTTCTTTAAAAATGCATGTAATCAGTTTGTACAATATGCATGCTTGCAGCATGAAAAGTAACAAATAAGGCTGTGTTAAAATATGCCTTTTTTATTTCCCCACACACACACTGAATGGGCTTCCAGGCAATCTAGCTCAAGCAGAAGCAGTTGGAAGAGAGGCCCTGGAATTAATACCTAATGATCATTCCCTTATGTTTTCATTGGCAAATGTACTGGGGAAATCACAAAAATATAAGGTAAGTAATGAGCTTTCTGAGTGTTGAATTTTAGGTTTGGGATTTGGTTGGGAGGTTTTCCTCTTTAAGCTCTTTAAGTTTTTTGTAGAAACTGTTTGAGGAGGTCATTGTCAACTATGACTTAGATAATGGGGTTTCAATGCCCATTTCTGTGCTAAGTTCATGCCACCTTATTTTAGATGCCTGGGTTATGAATGTTGCTGCCCTAAACTATTGTCAGTGGTCAGTGAAGAGAAATAGGCACTTAGGCACACTAGAGGGCAGTTCGGGTCTTGCATTGCTTTGCTACAGAGAGAGCAAGCCTGCTTAGATTTAGAGGTCTCATTTCAGGAGCTAAAATTAGATGTGATATGCTAGTCCGTGTGCTTTTGGTATGTAAAGGAAGCAAGGTTTACCATTACCCCATATGAATTCTAGCCTTTTGCCTCAGACGCTATCTAAAATAGAGATACGCAGACTTGCTAATTGCATATTGAGGATGGGATACCTGGGTAATTCCAGAATATTAAGAGGAAGAAGTCCATACATTGGGCACTGTATTGAACTTTCTTTTGGATGCAGTGGACCAGCTTGTGAGTGGTGTACCTCAGCATTAGCTTCTTCTATTTACAAGTAGAAAGTGTCATGGAATTGATAAGAATGAGTTGTTTTCCAAAAGGAATTGTATGAGCTGACAGTATAAATCATACACACTTAATACGTTTAGCTGTTTTAATTTACTCCATAGTCACTGATTTATGTATGTGATAGGGGCAAATTAATAATCAAGGAAGTTTTTGGTATTCATCAGAAAACCATCATTTACTGAACAATGGCTTTTGGGGGTTTTGATGGCTTTTTGATAGTGGTAATATTAGCATCACTGAAACAATATCCTCAGTATATGCAAATTAAGGAGATTTATGATGTGAAACTTCTCAGAATAGATACATTTTTCCTCCAATTACTGTGTTCACTTAAATTTCTACAGTCCTGTTCATGACATACCCACATGAGAAGCCAGGGCCTGTGACAACCCAGCACTTGCTTTACTTTGTGATAAATTACTGTTAAGACACCCATCACTGTTTCTGTAGACTGGCTGGGGTTTTTTCTGTACACTCTATTTCTTTTCTCTCTCCATCTGAGACTGTTATAAAATATATATTTTAGATTAGTTTAACAAAGTTCCAAAAGGATACAAATTAATGACCAAGATGTATAAGGGATGAGATTATAGAAGAGGTAATTGCTGAGATTATTTTGGTTAGTCGTGACTGAAAGAATAGAGGATTGTATAGTTATTCATCAAGAAGAGCATGCAGTATGACAGAATAAAGAGCATTTCTAATGAGATAAGTAGAAAAGGTAAGTTGAAAACAAGCTAGAAAACTTCTCCAGGTGTAGGAGAAACACTTCTTAGTGGATTTAAAAAATAAAAAAAGAGGTAGTGATTTTGATTGCTAACTCTGAAAGGTCATTATGCTGCAGGGGAAGTGTGTTGGGGGCGAAGTAGAAATGATAGTAGGGGGAATAAAACTTTCAAGTCAGCATCCTAAATAAAGTAAAAGGAGCAGTGGAGCCCAGGAAAGAAAGCAGGGAGTCAGTGAGTGTTTTAATAGTTCAATATGGTGTAGTAGGTTTGCACAGAGCAAAAACCTTAACTAGTCACTTGAAATCGATGAATTGTAACAGAGAGAGAAAATTAAGGGGATTGAGAAGTGGACTCACTTAGAAAAGGTTATGATCTCAGCAGCTGTATTTTGCATCACCTTGAAAGTGCAGATACAGGGGGGAAGGGGCTAAGTGGGAGAATGCTAAATGACAATTAAAATGCATAGAAAATTCAGACTTCATGTCCACCCCCTCACCATGTAAAAACAGAGAAGTGGATGACTCTTTAATAAGAGTGTTTTGAGTGTTTGGAATGGGAGGGAGGTAGGAGGGGATGAAGACTATCAAGGTGATGGAGGTAATTTTCAGAGGGCTACCTGGCTGTGTCTGGTATGTTGTATAACCTCAGGCATTTCATTTATTAGGTTACTTGTTATGTGTCTGTATAAAAGTTGTATTGGCTCTGTTGCTGTAAAGTTTGTTCTGTGTTTTTTGTTACCTCTTATTTTGAAAGACATTGAGTCGAAAAGATTATACTATGTTATGAGAGAGTTCTTTGCATTAAGCACAGAATATTCTCCTTCAGTTTCAAATACACTTCGATTTTCAGCAGAAGATGGATTTCCTAAGTGACAAAAAAAACCCACAACCCTTTATGATTTCTGTTTGTATCTGCTCATGAATGATTTATTGTTCCAGAAACAAATGCACATAAAGGATGAGCTGTTTTGGTGGTATGGTTTTGTTTTTTAATTAACATCTGTTATACTACGTTAGAGGTCTCCTTTAAATACTTGTTCTTGTCACAACGGGTGAAGAACCAAGCTATTTTTAGTTCTTTGAAAATATGGATGCTGTACTTTCGTTATGTATACGTCTATGCTTTTTCTGTAAAAAATACAATAAATTGAAACCATTCAGCATTTTTTTGTATTTGAAATAAAGCCAGACTACGATTTTGTGCTGTGGCCTTGACAGCAGATGGAATGCAGTGTGCTTACCCAAAGCCTTTGCTATGCACCGTGTGCAAGTTTCTTGGCAACACTTAAAGATTTGGCAAGATACAGCAATTTGAAATATCACTGGTGTACTGGAATGTGTATTTACTCCATATATCTACAGTAATATGAATGTGATACACCTTAAATAGCCTTTAATTGGCCAGTGTGCTTCTACTAGCTGCTGAGTAAAGTAGTGGTAATAAAAATGTTTTCAGCATGTAGTTGAAAATGCATGGTAATGGCAGCTAGCATTTAGAATCTATTTCATTAAATTTTCTGGGAGCACATTGTACATGTTGTCCCATCATGCTTCAGCAGTGAAAGCATGAGACCATACATTAGGTGGTGCTTCTTTGTGTAGGTGGCAACTTTTAGGCATAAGAGTTAATTAATTGGACAGCACATCTTTTACTTTGATTGCTGTTAACCTGCCCAGTGAAGAAAACAGAGATTTACTTGTTAGACCAAAATAATAAAATTTGTGGTGGAAAAAAAGATACAACTAATTACTGTATGCTTTCAAATGCCTGTTGATTTTAAGGCTTTGATGGTCATATGAAAAGAGGAGGATATCTTGCAACTCCACTAGACTTGCCAAATGTGACAGAGTTAAAATCATAGAATAATTTTTACTGGAAAGGACATTCAGAGGTCATCTAGTCTAACCTGACCCAAGCCAGGGCAATCTCCAGTTGAATCTTGAACATCCGTATGGATGGAGATTCTGAAACTTCTCTGGACAGCATCTTCCAGTGCTTGACGACCTTTACGTTAAGGAAAAAAAAAAAAACAAACCAGGATGTCCTGCAAAAGGATTTGTTGAGAACCCTAGGATTTGTAATCTCCTTGACCTGTGAAGATGAAGGCACTTCAGGCATCAGTCTCTCTTGGCTTGAGAGTTGCAGCCTTATTGCTGTGCGCAGCAATGCCCTGAAAGGAGCATGTTGTTTGGGTTTGAATTTGGATATACTGGGAAGCTCTTAAGTAACTCAAAAGTTAAGTGACTTAATTTTGACACATCAGAAATTTCTTGCCTCTGAGGGACCTTTACAGAGACTTATTTCATACTTCACATGAGAAGATGGTGGAACCAAAGTCTGGCTGACAGGTTTTCTTTTTCCATAGAGCCTGTGGTGTGTTTTGTAGATTTCAGCAATAAAAGCTTAGTGCAAAGGAAAACCCTTTTCCCCAGGTTATTGTTCTCACATACTTCAGACAGCAAGTATGTGCATTCAGACAGAAGCCTACCACACTGAGGTAATTTCATCTTCACATTAATTGCATTGAAACTGAATGGGCAAGTTTCCTAAAACACAGCACAGAATAGAAATCTTTGTAAAATTTGCTTCCCAAAATACATAAACTTGCATGCAAGTGAGTACATATACTTCATTTGGATTGGGGAAGGGGTATCTTTTTAAACTTCTGCAAGGAAATATGCTCTGGAACAAAAGTATATTAGCAGCTAGTTTGGGAAAATGTTTGAATTGGAGAATAAACTTAGTGGTAAATTGTTCTTTAAATATTCGGTGATGGAGCTCAGGTTTCGTAAGAAGAACTTGGATATCGACAGTCCTAAGAGTACACACTGCAAGTGGGAATCTGGAAAAGATAACTTGTGAGGAATATTTCAGTTGGCTTGATCTTTTTAAGGAACAGGCACTCAGCTAGTCTTCATTGAGAACCACACTGAAACAGGTCAGGTCCTGAGCAACCATGGCAGGGGAGCTGCAACTGTATGATCTTGAGGTCCTTTCCAATCCAAACCATTCTGCTTCTACGAGCTGTTTGAAAGGGGTTTACTGGAATGCCGCTATTTTAAATGCTAAAATCTATTTTAAAGGGAAAGACACCTAAAAGCAGTTTGGTCAGATATAGTGAATTACATTATCCTTAACTTGATTGAATTAAGTAGGGAAAACTTCAGTAGGTAACGTGTGAAAATACTGTAACCGTGGGGAGTTAAAAAAAAAAAAAAAGTAAACTGCTTTGCAAACTTCACTAGTGCTTAATAGCTGTGTGCTAAAATAACAGCAGCCTGTGAAAGCATGGCACTTGTAGGTAGCTTTATTACTGTTTTCTGGAGGCTGTAGCCACCTGAGCTACAGTATCACATGGGCTTAGAATAAATATACTGTGGTGTCACACAAATTTGGTATTTTTGAGAGGGTTTTTAATTACAATTGTTGATCAATTTTGCAATATTTTATATACTACAGGAGTAGACTGTCCTGTTGACTTCTTGTTCTAAATTATTCAGGAATCTGAAGCTTTGTTTCTGAAGGCAATTAAAGCCAATCCAAATGCTGCCAGTTATCATGGTAATTTGGGTAAGAGCCTTTCTAACTCTTATCAGCTGTATTGTTTGTTTGCTTCATATTCATTGTGTTTTAAAAGAAAAAGCAATCTTTTGAGCCTTCTTCCTGCTGGGCAGATTTCTATTTCACTTCCTAGAAAAACTGCCAGCCAGAAGAACAGGGTATTAAACCATAAAAGCTGTCACACGATATGACAGATCAAGAGGGCTGCACAATCCAGCCCAGAGGTAGCTGCACTTCAGTGTCTGCAAATTGGTTCACTTATGCTATGCTTGTAACCCGCAATGAGCTCACCAGATAAGAGCTGCCATTTATGGCTGCAGTGTAATTCATTCCTTCCATCATTCCCATGCCAGTTCTGCTCCCAGGCTTTGCTCCTTGGTTGGCAACAGAACAAGCGGCTACTGTGCCACCAGCCAGCAAGAGACCCTCACTGGAAAACAAATGCTTTAATGTTGTTTTCCAAGTGATTGGCAAGATTGCACATTATTCAACAATATTGCTAATGAAATTCCTCATTGATGTTCCAGCTGTGCTTTATCATCGCTGGGGAAATCTTGACTTGGCAAAGAAGCACTACGAGGTCTCTCTGAAGCTTGATCCTATGGCACCCGGGACCAAGGAAAACTACAACCTCCTAAGAAGAAAACTGGAGCAGTTGCAAAAGAAAGGCGGTGCCTGATGTTTCTATTCAGGTTGTCCGTGCATGCTGTTCACAATTCACATTACATGGGTATTTTTGCCCATGTAAAGGATTCAGTTGTTATTTCTCAAAAATAATACCACCACCAGCACTGCACACTTGGATGTCCAATTATGCCCTCCTACAGATTCTAAAATTTCAGCATGAGGGTTTATTTTATTTTTACTCTTGAACTGCTTTTAAAGTCCCTTAGAACATTTTTTTAGGTATATGAAAGCAACGCAGATGGAATTTCACAGCTTTCACTTATAATTTGATATCTTCATCTGACTATTCTATGACTTTTTAGTAGCAGGATGAATACCAAAAGGTAGTTTTACTTCTGAAAGTGATTCTTTAAAAAGTGCAAATTCCTGTTTAAATACGTATCTTTTCAACTGTGAAGAATATCTGTCCACTTTGGTTTTATTACTTCCTTCTACTGCTAGTCCTGCAGAGCTAGTAGAAGAATGGATTCTGTCCAGCACATCAGTCTACTCATGTAATTTGAGTTATGCACTTGTTCTTGTGCCAGGCTCCACCCTGTGAAGTGTCGGATTTGTAGAGGAGTAAATGAGGACAAGGATTTGAGCATAAATGTTTGTCAGACAGTGCACTGCTGAGGTACGCCTGAGTGAAGAAAATACTCTTAGATTAAGATGGCAGATTTTAGCAAGCAGCAAAAGGAAAAGTGTGAGGCAATAGAGAAGTCAGCTAGAGTTTCTGTCCTTGCAGACAGCCTCATCTAACATTGACAGCTTGGGCGAGTCAAAATTGCTTTAGCCTCTGCTGCAGGTCAGTGGTCTAAATATAATACAGCATCTATAGGAGCTAATTCCTGTGTTCTCAGGCATTTCAGTGCTTTCTGGTTAAGGACACTACACCTTTCAGTTCCTATACTGTTGGTGAATAAGGAGGGAGTTTATGTGCAAAAGTAACTGGGCAGAGGACCTGACTTTGGCTGTTGATGTTTTAACTGGAAGGAACTCAACTTCACCTCAGTCTCCTGTGGCTCGTGTTTACTGAAGTGTCAGTTAAATAAGCATAAACTGATCACATTGATGTGGGATGATTCAGAGATGGGATACATTGATATGATGTTGCTTCTCTAAATGGGCTATGTTTTAATACATGTTTAAACTCTGGCTGTCCAGAGTTGTTTGTCTTGTGCTAATATTTACATTCCTAGTCACGTTTATTTGCTGTTTCCTTGGCATATAAGATTGGAAGATTGCTATTGGATGTAAAAACTGAGGAACTTTACCTCTCTTTCCATATTCCTTTGTTCTTTCTGACCCTGTCCCCCAGGAAGATACTGATGGGTGGAGTATTTGCAGCTTTCCTAATTTGTCCAATGATTATTGTATGGGAGGTTGTGTAATGTTCTCCATATACAACTCATCTATGAGAGGAACCATTTAAAGTGTTGGGGGAATGCCTGATGTCGCATGACCCTGCCATCTGACCACCATGTCACCATTTTACATCTATACTATGTTTTGAACTTGTTGTAGGCTACTTTTGTATTGTAAATCTGCTTGGAAATTACCCTTGTGTCAAGAACCAAGTGTGTCTGCAAAGCACATTGCAGTCCTGCAGAGCTACCAAAGCATCCTCTGACAAAACTAGTTTGGGTAACACAGGTAGTGCAGCTAATGTAATATTCATGCCAGACTAATTGCTAATCTAGCCAGCAAGGCTGTGGCAGTGTGGTGCTGTCCATAAATCTGGCTTTGAATGAATTAATATGCCCATGTTATCTAGTATGTTGTCATACTGATTTTAGTTGACGTACCAGGGGCATGTATTTGTGCTACTGCAGTGCTCCTCTTCTGCAAATACAGGCTGTTTCTCAGCAGGACTAATTAGTTTATGTAGGATACTAAGTTGATGCAATTGTTTCCATTTCTTCTGGTTTCTGGACAAAATTTCCCGAAGCTAGTTTCTGAATGTATTTGCAGGATATAAACATGCGCTTTGGTAAGTGTATGTACGGATCCAGCAGAACTTGCACCACTACGGGTAGCCATCTTCTGAAAACCGGCATAGTTTAGTCAGTACCAACTTCTGTATCTGAAATATGCTGAAATACACCTTTCAGTACAAATGGCAGACTTTTAAGGCTTACCATACATAGCCTATTATTTATCAGACACAGAGAATACTTAGCTGCTTCAGTCATGAAGTATTAAAGAGTTGGGATCTGGCTAGCTGAACTAATTTATAGCAGAAGATAAGTGTGTTTAATATAATCATGTCTTCTCTGTATATTTGGAATATGACATACTGAGTTTAAATTATTATTTTCATCATAAGGTTCACATGTACAGTTTTCCCTGTTGCTTGCCATATTAGCTTTACAGAAATCCAGTAGATCAATATTATGTATGGGGTATGAATTCTCTCTAGATCATTGTAAACCAAAGTCGTTTTAGGAATTCCTCTGTGGAGGTCTGTTTGTCCTTCTACTCAAAAATCTTAGATGGAAGAGACATGCCAACAAATTGAAGGTTTTATTGGCATTTAGAAGTGGTGTTTACTCTTCACTACAGGCAACATGAGTTCTTCTTGATTAGTTTTCTGGCTACCTGTATGTATTTTTGTGAGGGTTTATTTGTTTTGTATCATTTTCAGTGCTATAGAAATTCAGTGTGATTACTTGTATGACAGTAATAAGAAGGATACAGTTCTGTCTCAGTGTGATGTTAAGGCAGAACTGGGTTCCAAACAAGCAACAAACAAGACTGCTTTTTTAATAAAAAATTCCTTAAGACTTTCAAGAATGCTAAGATTTTTTTACTTTATTTTCAGAAATATTTTGAGAGTGCAAATAATAGTGAGTTTTATTAAAATGGTTAAATGTTAACTTTTTGCTTGTTTTTTCATACCTCATGAATGACTCCTGGAATAGTGCAGAATGCACAACCTGGAAGAGAGGTGGAAAAAAGTGGGTTTGTACATAACTGTTGTTACAAACATTTCCTGTCTCTCCAGCATGCTGGACTTTTTCCTATTGCCTTTCCACCATTGCTAATTACAGAAGATTACAGTTACTTTCTTATCAGGTGGCTTGCTTGATTCTCTAGTGAAATTAAGAAAACTGGATACTTTTTTTTTTTTCTTCAAAGACTGCTTGTTAAAGTACAGTTCTGAAGAGAGAAGTACAGAACAATTCAGTGCACAGAATGGAATCAGAAAAACATTCACAAATGACTGCTATGGATGAGTCGCTTTTCACCAAAAACTTCCGTTGGAGTTCTCAAATTGTATGTTTCTCTCATGTTTAGACTAATACCATGTACATGAAGTTTCCTGCTGTTTAATTTCATACATAGGATTTAAAGTTTAGAGATGTGGGTTGTGTGTGTGTACAAGCACTCAGAAATAAAACCCTCAGTACTTTTGAATGGTTTGTTAAAAATATGGGACCTATTCACTGGGAACTAGTTTCCTACATATTTGAGATACCTGCACCTGAGCTATGTGTCCTAGTTTCTCTGTAGAGTCACTGGAGGAAAAAAAACCACAACAGGTAATTTGAAACAGGACTCTTCTCCTAAAGAAAGCATCTTTAGGATGTGAGGCATCATGTACTTGAAGCAGGTATTCTTCCTCACTAACTGCAAAGGGTAACTAAGGTGATCAGCTCATATATATGAAGAAAATCTCACTGCTGCTTTCAGTTGAAGTAATCTGGTCTCATACGCCTCTAGCATTCTCATACATTATTTGCACCAAGAATGTTAAAAGACTGTCACTGAAGCAAATTGGCAGGTACTTGCCTTGAAAGTCAGAGTTAGAGTAGCTGGACAAGGGAATGGCATCAGACAAACTGGGAAAGCTTTGGTTTCTGCAGACAGTTAAATTTTACATGACTGATAAAGCACCTGAATGTCAAATCTCTGCCTACAGAAACAGAACATTCAGATTCAGTTTGATTCATTGTTAGCTTGTCTGTCACCACAGTACATTACAGCAACTTCTTAATGAATTGACTTTTGGTGCCCTTTACTTTGTTTTAAAAGCAATCTAAAGCAACTGTAAACTTGCAAAGGTGAGATTTTTTTTTTTTTCTTTAATTGAAGTGCTATTTCAAGCTGTAGCTGTTTGAATGTTACATGTGATAGCATGGACCATTTCTTTGGTGAGGTTTTGGGGTTTTTTTTTAGTTTAAATAGCTTAATATTTATTTGTTGGTTCCTGCTTGTGTTCCACATTTCCTCTGAGTGTAGGTACGTCTACACATCTATCATTATATGTAGATTCCCAGATGATTCTTGACTTGACCTTTGACACTGGATATGCAGTGTCACAGCTCTTGATACGTCTCTACCAAATGTGCGTTTATGAGGGCATGTTTAACTCGGACTAAAAATTGCTAGAAACAAAAGCAAGATCACACGGTTAAATTGCCATGATGTAAAAATGCTCAGGGAGCCAAACTCATGTCCTGTACGAACCACAGGCAGCAGGTACCACTAGTACTGGTGCTTTGGACTGGGTGCTGGCTCCACAATAACATGAAACAATTGTACATAGGTGTAAATAGCTGTGTGCTCAGTGTGTGTCAGTGAAAATACATGTCAAGTGGTTCAGAGCTTTTTAAAATAAGTATTTTTGTTAGGAAACAAAATCCTTACAGCTATTGAAATGGGTAGGTTGTGATTGCCAAGTTGAACTTTTTAATGTAGTGTTGATCATTTTAGATTGCCAGTGGTATGTTCCGATTTTCAGCTGAGCAAGAAGCAAACACATTTGTAATGGAGCCACGTAATAAATCTGCATTTTGCTATCTCTTTGAATAGATTTTAATTGTGATAATGGTGTTTATTTTCGTAGTAAGGTTTTGATTCAGGCTTCTGCTGTAAGATGGGAGGAAAATGTCATGGGCATGGTAGACTGGTACTGTGATCTACAGGAAGATATTCTTCTCCTTGGAGTAACTGTTCAAAATCTTCATTATGCACAAGTGTATCGATGTTGAATGTGTATACCAAAAA